CTTCTTGTCAAAGAAGCTTGGGACATGTTGGAACGTCATGTCAAAGTTTGATATAGACATAAATAATAAAAAGTTCCAACTGTTTAAAAAAAGGTTATAAAAACATAAAAAGAAAACATCACAAACTAAGAGCTGAAATCTAAGGGGAGCCCTCCCCCTGAAGTATTAGCAGAATTCATTTTGGGGGGCTGCCATCCCACTCCACTTGCTCCCCCGGTCAAATACTAAAAAGCAGAAGTGAAAAAACAGCAAAATTGAAGAGCTTAAATGGGGAGGGGAGGATGAGGCAGGGGAGACAACCACAGAAGAGGGACAGAGACCACCAGTCTCAATGTGTTTCCTCTGTTGCTGAAAGGGACTATAAAGTTTGTCTTCTCTGATGCCTTCCTCAGCAGATCTGACTCACAGAAATATTTCTCACTTCCCCATCTTTCCCTTAAAAATATATGTGGCAGTCAAAAGAAATCACTGATGTTGCAAAAAAAAAAAAAAAAAAAGTTGGGGGAGAGAATAGTCTTATGGCTCTTCTAAAACTTGAAGCCTTTTTTTTTCTTTTGTTTCCTCCGTGAAAGTCATTGAAGGCTGTCATTGATATTTTGGAATCTGATATTTTGTTTCCTTCTTAATGCTCCATACATAATTCCACTTTTCCTTTCTTTATCTTTTTATGGGACATTGTTCCTTAAACAATGTTTTTCAAACTTGGCCACTTTAAGATACGTGGATTTCAAGTCGCAGAATTCCCCAGTCAAGCCCACCCCCCAGAACATGGAAGACAGATCCCTGGAGCCAGAAAGGTTGAGGGGAGGGGACTATTTTACAGCACTCTCTGAGGGTTTACAATGTCAGCATATTGCCCCCAACAATCTGGGTCCTCATTTTACCATTTTACCAGGACAGAAGGCTGAGTCAACCTTGAACCACTCAGGATCAAATTTGTGACTGTGAGCAGAGTTTGCCTGAAATACTGCATTCTAACCATTGTGTCACCATGGAATAATAATAATAATAATAATAATAATAATAATAATAATAATAATAATAATAAGACAAAATGCCAAATCCAGTCTGAACATCTGGCTGACTGTGCGATGATCCATAATAATAATAATCATTATCATTATTATCATCATCATCATCTACATGGAGGGAAGTGTGTAATGGGGTGCCCCAGGGCTCTGTTCTGGGCCCAGTACTCTTCAACATCTTCATCAACGATTTGGACAAGGGGATAGATGAAAAACTCATCAAATTTGCAGACGACACCAAGCTGGCAGGAATAGCCAACATTCCAGAAGACAGGCTTAAGATACAGGAGGATCTGGACAGACTTGAACACTGGGTGCTATCTAACAAAATGAAATTCAGTGGTGAAAAAAGTAAGGTTCTACATTTAGGCAAGAAAAACCAAATGTAGAGTTATAGTATAGGGGGTACCTTGCTCAATAGTAGTAACTGTGAGAGGGATCTCGGAGTCCTAGTGGACAATCACTTAAATATGAGCCAGCAGTGTGCTGCAGCTGCCAAAAAGGCCAACACAGTGCTAGGCTGCATTAACAGAGGGATAGAATCAAGATGACGGGAAGTATTAATACCACTTTACAATGCCATGGTAAGGCCACACTTGGAATACTGCATCCAGTTTTGGTCACCATGATGTAAAAAAGATGTTGAAGCTCTAGAAAGAGTACAGAGAAGAGCAACAAAAATGATTAGGGGACTGGAGTCTAAAACATATAAGGAACGGCTGCTGGGATTGGGTATGTCTAGTTTAATGAAGAGAAGGACTAGAGGGGGCATGATAGCAGTGTTTCAATATCTCAGGGGCTGCCACAAAGAAGAGGGAATCAAGCTATTTTCCAAAGTGCCTGAAGGCAGGACAAGAAGCAACGGATGGAAACTAATCAAGGAGAGAACAACCTAGAACTAAGGAGAAACTTCCTGACAGTTAGAACAATTAACCAATGGAACAACCTACCTCCAGAAGCAGTGAATGCCCCAACACTGGAAGTTTTTAAGAAGAGACTGGACAACCATTTGTCCGAAATGGTATAGGATTTCCTGCCTGAGCAGGGGGTTGGACTAGATGACCCCCAAGGTCCCTTCCAACTTTATTCTTACTACTACTACTACTACTACCACTACTACTACTAAATAATAATATTAACAACAATAATAAAGAACTATCTTTTTTCTTGATTCCCCATTGATCCATCTCTCACTATCAAGCAAATGAAATCTGTCCAGCTTTTGAGCAGGGTTATTCTAGAGTTGTCCTCTAGTCCTGCTATCTGGACACTCCCGTAGTCCTGGGGAGTGGGGATATCCAGACTTACAAAGGGAAAGGGCCCGCATAGCCATCATTTATAAGTCTCTCACCCTTTGCCTGCCCCAATTAGCATGTGCAGCATTTCTTTGTCCCTGTTTTGAACACCAGGGCAAACAGTAAGACTTAGATAAGTCTTCACAGACTGTCCCTGGGTCTGTTTCTCACTGGCCTGTAAATCGTTAAAGGAGTCGCTGTGCTTGAGAGATAAAGGGAACTTCCTATTTCTCTCTTGCTCTTTCTTAATTTTGCATTGGAATGTTCTGTTTACTTATAAAATATTCTTTCAAAACAAATATGTTATTTCATGCATATTCATGAGCTTAATCTAGCTACCAATAAATGTAGAGAAATAAAATAGGCAATTGGGACTTGTATTTTTTTTTATGGATTATTTCTATTTACATTTGGCCAACAACTGCAAGCAGCAAAGATACCTATGTACAAAATTATGTGCACCAGACACTTTTTATGCTTGAAAGATTAGGAACATAAAGCCCCTTTTCAGAAATGTTTGAGCTTTGCCAAGTTATGGAAATACAAAGATTCCCTGGACACAAGGAGCAAAGAGTTTAGGAAGCCCAAATAGAGAAAGTCTGCACACGTATGGGAAATGTGAAAGTTTTTTTAAAAATTCCATTCAGAACCATAGGCTCCATCTATATGTCTGAAATAATGTTCTCTTTAAGAATGTAGGCTAACACACATACACCACTCAGACTACCAGAGCCAAATTTGCAATTTAAGAAGGCTGCTGAAAGCAATGAAGTTATTTCAAACTTAGTTATTTTCTTTCTGATGTCTCTGCCTGCATGAAACAAACACAACTGTTCAAGAAAGCCTGAATTTGGACCAGATATATCCAAAATATATGAGCAGAAATTCCAAATGGGAACAACAACAAAAAATTATCTGAGCAAAGAGAACCCTCTGTTTCACTGTAAAACTGCAAAAGCAAATTATATCTGAAAGCATTTTGTCTACAAAGAGACCAACGGGCTGGCTAGGGCTCCAGAGAGGTCAATGGGGGAAGAGAGAGGTTTCTTCTCTTACGCAGAAAGGGAAATGGCCCAAGTGGCAGGAAAAGGCTGGAGAAGAAGGTGAGTTTCACCCCAAAGGGAGAGAAACATTGTGTTCTAGGAAAAAGAAGGGGGTGCCTCAAAGAAGGGTGATTGCCAGAACCCCTAAAGAGAAGGCTTTTCTGAACTTAGTTTGACTGGCCAGCAGAAAATTGCTCCAACATTCAAAAATAAAGATTTCTTTGTTGATCTTGGATGAAAAGGGCAGATCAAGAAGGAAAACAAAAGTGGAGGCTAGACGCTGCAGAGGCTGCACAGGTCCTTGACTTACAACCATTTACATAGTGTCCGTTTAAAGTTACAGTGGCACCGAAAAAAGGGACAACTGGTCCTCACACTTATGAATATCGCCTCATCCCTATGGTAACATGATCAAAAGTCAGCGGCTTGGTGACGGCGTGTATTTACTACAGTTGCAGCTTTTCATGGTTACACGGTTGCCATTTGCAACCTTACCAGCTAGCTTCGACAAGCACACTCAAAGGAGGAAGTTGGATTCACTGAATGACCTTGTGTGGTTTATGTGACAACTTCAGTGATTCAACAGTAGCCCTGTTGGTGCAGTAGTTAGAATGCAGTATTGCAGGCTAACTCTGCCCACTGCCAGGAGTTCGATCCTGACCGGCTCAAGGTTGACTCAGCCTTCCATCTTTCCCATGTCGGTAAAATGAGGACCCAGATTGTTGGGGCAATATGTGTGACATTGATAAACTGCTCAGAGAGTGTGGTAAAGCACTATGGAGAGGTATGTAAATCTTAAGAGCTGTTGCTATTGCTGTCATTTGCAACCTTATCAGCCAGCTTCGACTAGCAAACTTAAAGGGAGAAGCTGACTTCACTTAATGACCTTGTGTGATTTACTTAGCAATTGCAGTGATTCACTTAATAACCATGGCAAAAAAAGGTTGTAAAATTGGGTTTGACACAATTAGCAACTGCCTTGTGTAGCAATGGAAGTTCTGGTCCCAACTGTAGTTGTAAGTTGAGGACTACTTTGAATACAATGCACACTGATGAAGTGACACTTGCTTTGCACCCACTGAATTCTCTAGGTATGGATTCCAGTTTACTAAGGGTTAGTTATGCATGGCAAAAAAGGACATACAGTTGATTTTTCATTGTGGGACTAAGAAAAGGAAGAAAGAAGCTGGACTGTAGAACTGAATAGGGTATCATGGTTGGTTATGTAACTGTCACAAAAAGGTATGAGATTGTGGCTCCATCCACTGGAAGAATATCAGAAATAACCATGGCTTTCCTTGGTAAAAGATTAAGGTCAGCTGGGGCCCTGAAGACCTGGCTTTACCCCAGAAGGGTAAGCAAGCTTGGTTGTTAATGTCATTTTAGGATTAGATCATTTACCTAGGGAATTATGGTGTGTTATTTCTAACTTTTTTTAATCTTTGTTTGCTACCCAGAATCACTATTGTGAGAAGGGCAGCCAAATTGTGTGTGTGTGTGTGTGTGTGTGTGTGTGTGTATGTGAGTACAAAGCAATAGCATTCCAGCCTCCCTAACTCACTTTTTAAAAAAATGTTTCTCAGAATGAAGAATTGGAAGATAACAAAAAATAATATTCTTTTTCTTCATTTTAGGCTTGGCTTCTCCCACCATCTACCCTAATCTTGACATTCTGAGAGTGAAGCTAGGAGACTCAGTCAACTTACTTTGCTCAGGGAAATTACCTGTTGAGTGGATCGGTATCCAGAATGGGTCCACTGTGATCCTGTATGACAATGGCACCCTCTACATGCCAAAGGCTAGTTGCAACCAGATGGGAAACTACCAGTGTGCTTATATCAACAAGCCAGAAGAGGGGATTAGAACTATATATGTGGCTGTGACAGGTAACCAGATTTCTCCTTATTATCTGTCATATGCTTTGAAAATAAATCATTGCACATGCATAAGTGAACAGTGACTGAGAATTAGGGGAGTAGATGGCTTGTGTTCCCCATAGCTCCATTGTCAGCTGTCAGTGTTTTTACAGAGGATGGAGGGGTTGTACAGTGTAGAATGTTAAGCCTGCTGAGGATGTGTTAGGGTCTTCCTCCATCAGGTGGCAAAGACACTTGATGGGAGACGAAAAACTTAGGCCAGCAGGATTAGAAACTGACCCCCTTTTAAAGTATTTTTTTCAGTAAGGCTTAACTATACCAATAATTTTTCACATTTGAAACAAAGCAATCATGGGAAATCCCTGCTGCAAATTTGTCCAGTTCCACCATGAGAAATTAGCTCATTTGGATGACTCATAGAATGGAATCTCTTCAAGCAAAAGAGTCAGTTGTTAATTCAGATGCCTACAATCCTAGGAGATTATCAACCTTGACTCTTGGCCAGATTGTGTCCCTAGGAGAATATATCTGCAATTTGGGAGTCCTTTTTGATTCACAACTGGAAGATCTGAAGGATGAGGTTGCCAAGCAAATCATCCTAAGGAAAATATACAGCACTGATGTGTTTTTTAAGTGTCAAAACTGACTTGATAGCATATAATAAATGAGTCTGGATTCACAGCTCCTGCTGGGTGAGCAAATGGTGGTCATGGCCAAAAGATTTGCCCTTGAAGACCACACAGAGACTTTAACAGCTGCAAAATGCACTACTGCTTTGAAGCTGTTACCTGTGCATTTCTGAGCATGGTTGAAGATGCAAGTTATCACATATAAAGCCCTGTAAGTCTTGGAGCCTGGGACCAATTTAAGGCCTATTTATTCAATGAGGGAGACAGAGTCCTGCTGAAGATCCTTTCCTACCGTGAGGCACAATGAGAGGAACGCCCTCCTGAGGCAAGACTGACTTTACAGATATTAATGGAGTCAACACCAAGCTACTTGATACCGATTGGCTACTATATGCATTGTTATTATTTTTACGAATGAAGGCAAATATACCTAACCCAGGATAATGTTGCAGAATCCAGTCTGGGTCTCCAGAATGTGAGAGAGCAGTTCCCTGAGGATGGGCTCCAGCAAGAATCCAAAAGCTCAGAAGACTAAACCTCTGGTCCTCATGACCGGCCCAGAGTGGATCCTGTTATTACTTCTATTATAATTAATATCTGTACATTGTCTAGAGTGTATGCTGGGTTCAGGCAAAAAATATATTTCATAAACAAAAATTATCACACATACACACACACAAACACACACACACACACACACAGAGAGAGAGAGAGAGAGAGAAAGATACCAGAGCCCTCTACTGACAGAGAATACCTGAGCTCAGAGATTTTGCTCTCACCACCAAGTCAGCAGCAGACAACCTTATTTTAGATTGCTTCCAGCTGTTTTTTCTAGGCATGCCAAGCTACCATATGGATTCCTAACATATTTCTTCTACAGATCCTGACTCTGTGTGGTGTGGCCTTCAGAATGCATATTTTTCTGTGGAAAATGGCAGGGATGCCTTGCTTCCGTGCCTGATTGCCGACCCAAGCTTCACAGGCAACATGACCCTCCTTAAAGACGCTTCTCCAGTTGACTCAGAAGTCTCATTCAGTCCTAAGGAAGGAATATGGATTCACAAAGTAGACCTGAGTGATAAAGGGTCCTATGAGTGTAAAGCCCAGGTTCAAGGACAGTGGGTGATTTCACCCAGACTTATCCTTTCTATTTATGGTAGGTTGGAACTGCTCTTTTTGTAACTACTTGAACATGTGTTTACAAGCCTTTTGAGACAGGTGTTCTGACAGAGTTAGAAAAAGTGCTCCAGTGCATATTGTTCATTTTTTCAATGTGGAGAGGTTGATTCCAAATTTTATATATTCATTCTGCTGTGCAATGTTGTATCAATATCAATCAACAAAGAACAATTGTCCATATTGGCAAAACAATGAATAGCTGCTTCAGTACATTAGTTGTTCTTTACTGTCACTGCCAAACTGGTTTGAAATAATTTGGGTTAAAATGGGGACACACATCCCTCCATGAAAAACTGGGATAACTTCTCAATCTCTTGGGTCAAAATGTTGCTGGAAAAGATGCTGAAAGGGTCAGAAGCTTAAAACAATGTCCCATCATTAGGCAGAAATAGCAAAGGGAAGCATAAGAAAAGATGAAGACATTAGGTTTCTTGTACTGACAAGCCTTTCTACCTCAGTGTGTATTTAACAGACTGTTCTGACTTTTTCAGACAACCTTCAGCCTTTAACAGTTACTATTAAAGGAATAATGGACCAAGTGCGGTTACAAGGAGAACCTTTCAACATTTCCTGCAGAGTACAATATCACTCTCCTCAATATGATGGCACATGGATCTATCCCCCTACTGCAAACGTAAGTCATTTCTAAGGTTTTTGATGTGAGCCTTAGCTTGTGTTGATTGTCTTGCATGATCTCAGAGATTCTTGTGGCTTATATAAGCCCGTTCATGCAAGGACTTAGACCTGCCTTCCAGAGCTATTGAATGACAATGTCTACAATCCTTAACCAGCAAGTCATTCATGAGTATCTGATGATTTAATATGTGCTGCGATGTCACAATGAAAACTCTGCTCCTTAGATATTTGGGTGGAATATTGTGACATAATTAGAAAATGGCGGAATTTGCAAAATGACACATGTTATCATTTTGGCATCATCTTGGCTAGGTCCAGGCATCATGAGGCTATTGGCTGGCTCGGGTGGTGGGAGTTATAGTCTTGAGGCAATCAAATTGAAGAAGGCTGCTTCAACTATATGTTGTACATTAAACTTGCAGCTCTCCAGATTGATTTGCTTTTGCATCCTGATCATTTAATCCAGGTTGTTTTTTAACAATTTCTGAGTGTCTTGAATCTTCAGACTGCCTTACTATATGAGCACAAACCTCAGTCATTTCTAATAAACAAGAATAAAGAGGTAGAAGGAACCAAAGGATATTTATTTATCAAATGGATGTACTGATGAATCTTATGTCTTTGCTTTCTTTGCTTTCTACATACTTTAATTAGCTTGTAAAACAATTTATACTTAAGTATATCTTTATATTTAAGTAATACAGATGTGAAACTATTATTTCATAGCCTGTTTTTTAGAAACTAGCACAGTGGTGGCGAACCTAGGGCATGGGTGCCAGAGGTGGCACTCAGAGCCCTCTCTGTGGGCACGCGCGCTGTCGCCCTAGTTCTAGGCTTTCAGCTGGATTTTATAAAACTTCCGCTTTAGGCCTGTGCTGCTGTGTGCAAAAAAAAGAGGTTCAATCAGTCAATTTCAACTTCTCGCGGGGGAAAAAAAGATCTTGCAAAAGTTGGAATTGATTGATTGAACTTTTTAGTCCCACCCAGTCTGCCGTTACCACCACAGCCACGCCCACCCAATGGGCCATGCCCAGCCAATGGGCCACACTCACCCGGCACACTCACCCGATGCATAAGTGGGTTTTGTGTTGCAGTTTGGGCACTCAGTCTCTAAAAGGTTCGCCATCACTGAACTAGCATAATCTGAAATATATCTGAAGCACTAATTAATATAAACAATTAGGGTTAACAAAATATAAGTGGAGGACCAGTGGTTTCTCAGCCCTATTCAAGGAAAAGCCCTACAGTTTGGAAAAGGTTTAATTGGAGATAATGGGGACAAAGAACTCCTATCTCCAAATCAACACAATAACGTCTACCTTTTCTTACCACAGGCCAGCACGACTATAATGGAAATCGATACTGGATTAGCTAAGTCATACACAACTGATTTTACCCTATTCATTCCAGCGGTGCAGTTACAAGACAGTGGAAAATATACTTGTCTTGGGCAAATTTCACAAACGATTGTAAATGCTTCGGTTACTCTCCAGGTACTAGGTAGGTGAAATTACAAGGAAAACCCTCTTCCCCTCACCAATAAAAGTAGGTTTTGTGTATCCAAAACACCATTCCAGTTTATTAATGGGGTTGTTTTCATTCCGTTTCTATGGAGTTTTTACATTGTGTTAGCTGACTGGGGGGTTTTTATGAACAGAAATATGGAATATCAGTTAAATCAATCAGAAATGAATAAACACAATGCAGTAGAGTAGAGTAGAGTAGAGTAGAGTAGAGTAGAGTAGAGTAGAGTAGAGTAGAGTAGAGTAGAGTAGAGTAGAGTAGAGTAGAGTAGAACAGAACAGAATAGAGCTGGAAGGGACCTTGGAAGTTTTCTAATCCAGCCCCCTGTTCACACAGAAGTTTCTCCTTAATTCCAGGTTGCTTCTCTCTTTGATCAGTTTCCAACCATTATTTCTTGTCCTGCTCTCTGGTGCTTTGGAGAATAATTTGACCCATCTTCTTTGTGGCAGCCCCTCAAATACTGGAATACTGCTATCATGTCACTCCTATTTCCTCTTTTCTTTAGACTAGCTCAGGGGTAGGCAATCTTGGCTCTTTTATGACTCATGGACTTCAACTCCCAGACGTCCACGAGTCATAAAAGAGCCAAGGTTGCCTACCCTGGACTAGCCAAACCCGAATCCTGCAGCCACTCTTCATATGTTTTAGTCTCTGGGCCATTGATCATCTTAGTTGTTTGAATTATCAAACAGTATATGAAAAGAATGATCAAACATGCATGAGAAGAATTATCAAAGGTTGTCTACCATTTCGTATCCTAATCTCTCAGTAAGGAAGATACATGATAAAGGCAGAAATTCTTAATATTTTCTAAAATACCAATGTGTTATATAAGAATCTTTCTTTATTGTTCAGGAAAAATATACAACTATACAATATCAAAATTCCCTGGTACTTCGAATTAATTAGTACTGCAAAGTTTTCAGATGAAATGTAGCATTGCCTTCTACTCCCTTTTAAAATTCAAGATAGAATAAAATTTCTATAATACTTTCAAAAATGGATGTTTTAAGGACATAGATATCTTGTTTTCCCACATCCCATATTTCCATTCATCTCTCCAGCATTTTGAATTGCAAGTTTCTGGGGTAATTCAACTACCTTGTTCCTATCGAACTTTGTCCATAAAATCCAGTGTCAGTGCATAAGTCCAACAATTTATGACCAATTTTTCTGCCTTCTGGATACACCTAAAAGAAATCAAAAGCTTAGACACTCCCATCCCAATTCCAGGAACATGAAGTTAGTATTCTGTCCCAGTCCTTTCATCAGTTCATGTTCATGTCTGCTTCTTTTGTAAGCCCATCAATTGTCTGTCAACTGGATTTTGTAAGCCACCTTGTAAATCACTTTCAGGGTTAAAGATCAGATCAGAATTCTTTAAATCAGCTTTCCCTAACAGGGTGCCTTCCAGTTGTAGCGGCCCAATCATTCACATGGGTTTGTGGAAATAATAATCCAATATATTTCAAAGCCACCAGAATGGAAATAATGAATTGAACAAAGTCCTTCCTGTGGGATTTTTAAATTCTGCATACAAAAGTAATTATTGGCTGTGGCAGGTAATGAATCACGGGCATGCAATAGTGCATCATGTAGCATCATGGCTGCTCCTTGTGAATACTGCAGGAATTAGTTGACTTTGGTCTACCCTTCAAAATGACCCTCTGTAATTGAAGCAGGCTCATTGGTCATTCCTGAGTAGCTGAAAGGCGGGGACAGCTTTAAGTACTTTATTTTTGCTTTGGAATGTGCTGTTTTGCTGCTGGACTCCTCAGTGATCATTATCATTATGCATGTGATGAACAACTTTACTAAGAATCAGGCTATTTTCCTCAAGGAAATAGCTTTCTACCTTCACTTCCTTAGAGATTAACATCCTACTTTGCTTTCCAGAGAAAGGATATCTGCGTTTGTCCACATTACAGAACAGAACTCAGGAGACAAACATGCATCAAAACCTGAACCTTCATGTGCTCATTGACGCGTATCCTAGACCTTCAACGTATAGATGGATACATGTAAACCCATCAGGAAAGTCCACAAACACGGGCCACATGATTTTTGGTCATCAAAGGTAAAGGCTAGGTAGTATTTTCCATTCCTTCAGAGGATTTAGCTACTCATGCTGTCATTACCATCTAGTTGGACCAAGGTAATCCACTTTACAGGAGACTGCCCTTAAAGAATATTTAGAAACTACAGCTGGTTCAAAATGTATAGTTTCAACTCCATTAGTTTCACAGTCCCTGCATTATTTGCCATCTGGTTTTCTTTTCTAATTAAAGTACCAGTTTTAAACTACAAATGTTATCCATGGCTTGCCAGATATTCCCAGGACTTACTTCTCCAGCCAGTTTTGACTCTACCAATTAGATCTACCAGGAAGAAGTGCTGCAAGTTTCAATATAGTATGCCCTGTATTGAATAGTGACAGATGAGAAGGTTGTTTGATAACTGTCTTAGACATGATTTGAATGATGTTTTCTTTCCTATTTCTATTCAATATATTTTTGAAAGCTAACATACCACAAAATAAAGCTCACAAAATAATCATCTGTCGCTATGGAGATCTTGTATTACAATCGCTTCTTAACATTTTTACGTGCGTATTTGCTCTCTCTTTTGACAGACACAACAATACCCTCAGGCTGAATTGGATGGAGGAAAAAAACAGTGGCGAATATATATTTTTTGCAGACAACGGGGAAGCCAATGCATCCATTCATTTTTACATCTCTGTGAAAAGTATGTTCTGTGCTACTCATTTTTTTGTAAGGACATGTGGGAATGACCTTGGGAATCAGAGATGCAGCCAAGGAGATGGATAGATAAGTGGTGAGATAAAAGAGTAGCAGCAGAATGTGGATAGGGCAAGCAGCTCAGAAGGGACCCTCCTTAGTTTCTTGGCTGCAAAGGAGATGGTGGGGGGGGGGAGGCAGGGGGAGATTTGAGATGTACAGTAAACTTACAAGTAGTGTAGAATTAGTTCTTCTGGCCATGCTACCTGTCTGGTGTTTCTGGAAAGGCTGACATTTTCCAATCTAGAGTGCCAGAAAACTCAAAAGCCACACCCAAGTCTTTCTAAGGGAAATCCAGTTATCCTTAAAACAAAACATGTCCATGGTTGCCCTTAACTATATCAGATCTCAGGGTAGGTAAGCAAAAGGAAATTATCTTCTTTTTTGTGGCAAAACGAACACCAGCTATACTTTTTCCAAAAATTCGTATTTTATGACTGTTGATATTATCTTAGAAGTAATCCTGAATTCTTATCAGAAGTAACTTTTCCTAGTCGTAATTGAGTCAATTCACTCAGATGGAAAAATAATTGACTTTATGCCCCTGTATAGAAAAGGCGATGGGGAGCTAAGTCGCAAAGAGCATGCTATTAATCTGATTTGCTGCAATTTCCATTTTTCAGGGTGCTACCATTTTCATACAGCTAATGAGATTTGAAATGAAGAAAATATGCTGCTGTCTACTGTCTTTAATGGTTCCTTTGTATTTGCTTTTTAGCTACACCAAAAATTACAGCATTGACCAACATTTCCAGTGGTCTCCAATGTGAAGTAACTGGCTATCCTCCTCCACATATTCAGTGGTACAAATTGCCCCCCAACATTCATAGGTAAGTAATAGAAACACAGCACAAGCCAATGCATTTCTACTCAAAAATGCTTGCTGAGACTTAGGGGTATAATAGCACTGCAGCTTTCATATATCACCATTTTCATTATGGAACTGATTCATCTCAGTTCTCAACATGCTGACTCTGTAAACTGCTTAGAGAGGGCTGTAAAGCACAGAGAAGTGGTATATAAGTCCAAATACTATTGTGATTGCTATATTTTATAACTATAATGAAGGAACCCCACTGGGCTGATTGTTTTCATTTTGGTTTCTTTAAAAATGCAACTTCCTACAATGTAATTTCTGCAGCAGTTAATTTACACAATTAAAATTATATTATGGTTGAGGCAATCAATCAAAGACAAAAGGGTATAGGGAAAAATGGGTTTATGAAGTTGATTGCCATAAAAAAAACTATTGCTAATTTGCAAATTGTTCTTATTTGTGAATGATTCTCATCCAATTGTTGTTTCTTTTGGGGTGTTATGTTCATTGCACAATTTTGGAATTTGTGACAATTTCTGCTAATTCAAATTATCTAAAAAGATAAAGATCAATGGCAGTGAGATCAGGAATGGAAGCATCTAACCCATGTGTTAGACCAGAGCTCCCCAATTCCTGGACTTCAGACTGGTACCAGTCTGTGGCCCATTAGGAACTGGACAACACAAACAAGCAAAGCTTCATCTGTGCATATACAGCAGCTATGTACAGCACAAAATCACTCCCCCCCACCCCCGCCAGGTCCATGGAAAAATTGTTTTCCATAAATTCAGTCCTTGGGCCCAAAAGGACCACTATACTGGACAGTATCTCTTTGACAAATTAGCTCTTTCCCCTGTTGTTCTCATCATTTGCTCAACAGTAAGAAAAACCTGATACATCAATCCCTTGAAATTCCAGCAAATAAAATTCTCATCAACCTGTCATACTAATATCTCTGACATTTTTGCTTGTCTATCAGATGTGGTCAACATGGGATTCTGATTTTGAATGATTCCAGTCCAGAGATCATGAGTAAAATTCCCTTTGTAAAAGTGTCATTGAAGAGTGTCCTTAAGATGGAGATGGAGGACAGTATGATCATTTGCTGTTTCGCAGTTAATAGTGCTGGAAATGACTCCCGTCCCCTTACATTTTATGTTGATAAAGTTACTGGTAAGATAAATCTAAACATTCATTTGATTAAAAAATTAGTTTTCCTGGGCATTTCAGTAATTTCTCAATGTAATTCTAACTATGTGATTTCATCTCCATCTTGTTTTTTTTAAAAAAAATCTATTGTTTTTCCATTCACTTAAAGCGAACATTTACTGCAAAAATTTGAGGGGGTTTGAGAAAATTAAACAAGAGTAGTAAATTTATTCAAAAATTCAAATGTACCAAAAAATTAAAGAAAAAAAAGAATCCAAAAAGGGATAGATTTCTACTTGAAACTTAAACATTTCAATTCCTGTGATCGTTTTGTTTTTTGAGTAATTTACAGGAACAAAACTATTGGATGTTTTTAGCAATAAATACACATTTTTCACCTCTGGTTTCTGCTCTCCAGGCTAGTTTTTCATCTTTTTATAATGGACTAGTATTTTCAAAACTTGGGGGAAGAGCTACGTGGTGGATGAATATTTAATTCCACCTTCCTCAACTGTTTTGGAAAATACATCTTGCCACCATCGCAAATACGTCTTACTATCTTATTTTATTGCACCAAAAGGAGTAGGACAGTGATGGCGAACCTTTTAGAGACCGAGTGCCCAAACTGCAACCCAAAACCCACTTATGCATTGTCAAGTGCCGGGTGGATGTGGCCCATTGGCTGGGTGTGGCCCATTGGCTGGGCGTGGTTATGGTGGTAACGGCAGACTGGGTGAGATTAAAAAGTTCAGTCAATTAGTTCCAACTTTGCAAGATCTTTTTTTTCCTGTGAGAAGTTGAAATTGACTGATTGAACCTTTTTTTTTTTTTTTTTTTTTTTTTTGCACATGGCGGCGGAGGCCTAAAGCGAAAAGGTTTTATAAAACCCAGCTGAAGGTCTAGGACTGGAGTGACTAGGTTTACCACCACTGGAGTAGGAAGTCAATTATTTTCTTTTTCTTTTCTCCCTTGTCATACACTTTTCTCTCTTCTCTTTTCCTCCCTTGTTTTTCCCTTATTTTCATTTTCTTGCATTTTATATTTTGATAAACTAATAAAAATACTATAAAAAAAGGAGAATACATCTCATCATCCCCATCAATCTGTGAATTATTGTCCAAAATACCTGGATAAATTTTCAGCATGAATTAACTCAATACCATTCATAAAGATACAAAGCACAAAGTGCAGGTACGACAAATTTAAGCGTCGTTTGATTCACACATCATGGTAAATGATGATTTGTTCAATGAACCTCAATAGTCTGGGTTAGCACAACACGCTGTGGCAGAAACCAATCAACTGCCTCACAGCTAAGTTTACTTTGCAAACTCAGCAATGTTTCAGACTGCTAGAGAAAAATTGTGATGCATGCTATTGTCATGTTGTGAATATATTTACCGTTGTTTGACAAACGACCACAGAACCTGCTCCCATTAGTCTCAATGAGGTTGGAACTCCCTGCAATTGCTCTCTTCCTTCTGCATTTTGTTTTTCCAGGAAATGAAAATGAAACCCCCACACTACTTATTGCAATCTTTGGAGGGGTGATGGGTTTTCTTCTTCTGTGTATCGTCGTCTTAATCTATAAATATAAGCAGGTAAGCTTTTATATTTATGTATGGAAGGAAAGATAATCAAAAATTGCCTAAGAAACCAAAGAAGCTCTAAAACTCAAATGGCTGGTGTCATTTCGATATGTTTTGAACCACAATCTCCGTCATCCCCAATGAATATGGAAGCTGGGTGATCATGGGACTTGCCATTCAGAGAAATAATGTTACTTAGAAAGCACACATATACCAATAGGCTGAAGAAAAGAAAAAACAGAATTTTTCAATATGTTTCTTTCCACCATCTCCCCAAAACGGGGGAAGGAGGAAATATATTCTGTGTGAAACTCAATTATAACAAACAACCCCCTTAAGATTACAATATAGACAGTTATTAATACAATACCAGAAGTAAAGTGCATAGAATGGCATGTTTGCGGCAAAACAGGTTTTACCAAAACCGGCTTAATTTCTTTCACATGTAGTCCTTGCTTAACAACCACAATTGGCCCTGGGATTTTGGTCATAAGTCAGGGCACTTGTTAAGCAGGTCACATGTGACCTAACTCGATTTTCTGACCATTTTTTCCAATGGTCGTAAAGTGAGTCACCATAATTCACAAAAAGGTCACAAATCACAGTCATGTGACCATGTGACACTGCAAACAGTTGTAAATGGGAACTTGTTGCCAAGCGCCCAAAAAGTGGTCCTATGACTGCAGGAGGTAGCATGACATTTTAGGCTGCTGGAACTGCTTTACAAATCATAAAACACCCTTTTGGAGGCTGTTGTAACTTCAAACGGTCATTAAGCAACTGGTTGTTAAGTGAGGAGTATCTGTATATTTATTCTGGGAATCTAAAATCTCACTGCTACCCCCACAAATGATGAAATGTGGGAGAGATTCTTCTGATAGTATTTTCTCTCTTGTCTCTTTCCCTGTAGTGCAGTATCTTAGGTAGGGAGAGCAGGGAATAAGGACCAATTCTTCAGGAACAATTTTAACTTTATTTGTTTTAATCTATGAAGTGATATTACATTGTTGAACGGATATTGTGAATATATCCCAAAGATGCTTTTTCATGAGGCAATTGGACTTTCTTGTTTTTCTTTGAAGATATTTCGCTTCTCATCCAAGAAGCTTCTTCAGCTCTGACTGAATGGTGGGGAATGGAAGGATTTATACTCCTGCAGACAGTTGTTCATTTGCATTTTTTTATCAAGTCATTAAAGCTACCTGGAGACTTATCTGTGTCTTCACAGTCACCTGAGTAGTGCAAATGGGCATGGAGCCTTCTTGGAACTGCTGAAAGGACTGTGTTGTAGACTGGAGATAGATGATAATAATAGTAGTAAAGTTGGAAGGACCTTGGAGGTCATCTAGTCCAACCCCCTGCTCAGGCAGGAAACCCTATACCATTTCGGACAAATGGCTGTCGGATCTCTCCCCCTCTATTGAGAGAGGGCTGTTCAATTTTGACATAGATAGCCTCTTTGACCCTTCTTTCAAACCAGCAGTCCTCCCTGTCCAGAGTGTGGACTTTGCTGTCTTTGAAAGAGTGGCCTTTGTCTTTTAAATGCAGATGGACTGCTGAATCTTGTCCTGGTGGGTTTGTTCTCCTGTATTAGCCATATGTTTACAAACTTGTTGTTTCATTTCCCCAATGTACAGTTCTGCACATGGCTCACTGCATTGTACTGCATATACCACGTTGCTCAGTTTGTGTCTGGGTGTTTTATCTTTGGGTGGACCAGCTTCTGCCTTAATGTATTCTTAGCTTTGAAGTGTGCACATATGTTGTGTTGGTTGAAGATCCTCCTGAGCTTTTCCAATATTCCTGCAAGGTATGGAATGACTGCATTGCTTTGTTTATTGTTTTCTTCGTCTGTTATGGAGGAGCTCCTGCTAGGTCTTTTTTGACCCTGAAGACCCAGATAAGCCTCCAGGTAGCTTTAACGATTTGCTAAAAGAAGGCAAATGAACACATGTCTGCAGGAGTATAAATCTTTCCATTCCCCACCATCCAGTCAGAGCTGAAGACGCTTCTTGGATGAGAAGTGAAACAACTTCAAAGGAAAAAAAGGAAGTCCATTTGCCTCGTGAAAAAGCATCTTTGGGATAACTATGACCTGGATGACTGAGAATCTCCATAGACATTGTGAATATATGTTGTGTTTTTTTAAAGTACAGCACTTTGTCCTAGTTTTGTAAGCTGCCCAGAGTTACTCTGCGGTAAGACAGCCAGACGATAAGTTTGGTAAACAAATAATTTACAGAATAATAACTTAGTTTTCACAAAACTCACCTATGTCTTTTTTTCAATATAATTATTATCTCTTGTTTTTATTTTCCTCCCTTTTTCCTTTTATGGGCATCTTTTTTTCTCAGTTCTTGTCCTATGTCTTAACTTACTACTTCTCCTTTTTTAATAAGGAAATGCTCTCTTAATTCTTTATTCACATTTTAATGCAACAATCTGTCATTTTATTAGATTACCATAATAGGATCAGGTTGTATAAACACAATATCAAAATACTGTGAAACAACATACGATTCCTAAATAATTTCTCTTCTCAGAAACCAAAATATCAAGTCCACTGGAAGATTATTGAAGCCTGTGAAGGAAACAATTACACCTTTATTGACCCCACCCAGCTTCCTTACAATGAGAAATGGGAATTTCCTAGAAACAACCTGCAATTTGGTGAGGACCACCTCTAAATTTTTATCTCTAACCAAAAGCTCATTTTGCCCTATTAGCAGATTAGATACTGAAATTATACAACAATATGAAAATATCTAATTGTTGAATAGGATTATAGCATTATTCTTGTTGAAAATGTTGAGGTTTTATAGAAGCAGAAAAATGATGCCAAATAAAAATTAACTCTTGAATCCAAAAGTAAATAGGCTGTGGAATATATATATATATATATATATATATATATATACATACATACATACATACATACATACATACATACATACATACATATATGTTTTCTGAGGTTTTCGCAGGTGTTTGTATGTAGGTCTTTGGTTATTCGGGTTATTTGGTTATTCAGAACACAGCCAAGCTCCCACCCAATCAGTTCATACCCCCACTGGCAGTTAAAAGGAATAAACAGCTACGATCACACATTGCTCGTAGAAGCACGAAGCCGAAAACATCAGCCTGAAGATGACGAATGGGACTTCGTCGAAACGTCGCCAAGACACTTCCAATTTTACGCGGGAGAAAACCCGAATAACCAAAGACATAGATAGATAGATAGATAGATAGATAGATAGATAGATAGATAGATAGATAGATAGATAGATATAGATACACACACACATACCATTGGAATGTTTTTTTTTTTAATGTTCAGATTGTATAACCAAAGCTAGCCATAATGGAAAAATAGAACTGGCTTTTGAAAATCTCACCTTGGCCATATAGACTCTGCTAAAAATCTTTTCAAGATCATGCTTTCAAGCATATACTCTCACCCACACGTAGAGAGAATTAAAATCCTGTTTATTCTGTTGTGTTTCCCCATTCATTATTTATTTATTAAATTTGTGTTCTGCCCATTTCATCTAGAAGCCACTCTATGAGGTTTACAAGCATCAAAACCACTAAACGTTCAAAGGGATAAGACAATAAATAACAATAGTAATTTATCATTAAAAGATGGGGAGGAAAAGAGAATACAAAGAACACGAGAGAGGTGGGGTCTTCTAATCTAATAGCCACCTCCAGAATAATACCCCCTTGTTGGGGCCACAGGCCAACTGGCAAAGCCAAGTCTTTAGGACATAGTGGAAGGTCAGGAGGATATGTGAGGATATCACCTCGGGGATAGGGGGGTAAGATGTTCCAAAGGTCAGGAGCCATGGCTGAAAAGGCTCTTCTCCTAGACCCCACCAGCTGAAATTCCTTGGCTGCTGAAGTCTGCAGCATGTCCCTTCTGCTGGCACAAGTGGAGCCAGCCATTGTGAGAAAATTCTTCAGATAGCCTGAATCCATAACATGCACTGCTTTAAATGTGATAACCAATACCTTGAATTGCATCTAGAAGCAAACCAGCAGTCAGTGCAGTTCATGGAACAGCAGTATAACATGGGCCAACTTAGGTGCCCTAAGAATTGCCTGTGCCACTGCATTCTACAACAGTTGTGGCTTTCCAATACTCTTCAAGGGTAACCCCATGTAGAGTGCATTTGCAATAGTCCAACTACGTCAATTAATACCTAAATGACAACAAGATAAAGGGCTTTTTAAAAAATCACTTCTTGAAAGTGCTGAAGGAGGCATTCTGATTCTTGGACATGTGATTTTTTCCTCCTTATAAACATGGACAACTCTGCTTTTATCTAAAAGTATTTTTGTTTATTTGAAATTGTCTCTGACCACAGAGCTATAATAAATGTTGAAATTTGAAATCATTTGAAATGTTTTTTCATGCTTACAAGTCTGCAGAAGATGAATTGTGGCTCCAACTTCTTTTACATGGATACGGGGTATTTTTAAAAACACAAGAAGCCAAGGTCATGAATATTTATGACAGAAATCTACTTATATGAGGAAAGAGACAGGAAAAGGCTGCCTCCTTTCTCCTTCCTTATTTTGATTGGCATTAGAGTCTCTGGCAACGGAGGTATGCCAAGAAGAAAAAACTGGAATTAAATTGGAAGCTCAGAAACTGAAATAATACACTATTGATGTTGTACTTCATATTGTTCAGCCAAATGTTATGTGTTAAAACTGATGACAGAATACATATAGCAATATATTTCAATATCAGATTATTTGATCCATAAGGGCAAAGGTTGACATGGAAGAAAAGCAGTATTTGTATCAAGTAACAGGATTTAGTCCCCATACTAAAATAATTAAATACATGGGACATTACTAATAAAACTAATAAAGGTTAAATTTGACTAAATTTGGAGATTTTATAATACAGAGTATTTGCTGGGCCTTATATAGAAATTGTTGGTGAAATATAACTCAGACACCAAACAAGTTAAAGACTGTATAATCAAATAGTGCAGAATTTTGGTACAATAACTAATAGACAACAGTGGTGAATTCAATTGAATAATAATATTAAATTCGCATGGAATATTCTAGTTAGAGAAAACTGGTATGTTTAACTTGTTTTAATGCTCCTGTACTGATTGCTAAAATGGGCCATTCATTTTCTGAAAAAAATTTTTTATAAAAACCTGATCAAATCCTTTCTCCATATTTGGTAGCAATCTTGTAAAGGTCAACAAAAGTTCCTTTCCAAACTATTTGTCTATTAAATGTTATTACTGTAAATGGTACTTTCCCATAAATTATATAGAATTAAATCTTCACCTATTTTTTTAACTAATTCTATGATGCCTGTAAATTCCTTGTTTATCTACTTTGTGCTTCTCCACCCCCTTTTTTAATTTTTTCCTCTTTTTTCTTTGTGTATGTTTTTCTTTACTTTTCCTGATCTTAAATATGCATCATTAAAACTACTGCATATGATTGCATATTTTTAAATTAATTTTAATAAAAATTAAAAAGACAGTATTTACTTCACAGGAAAAGTCCTTGGAGCTGGAGCTTTTGGGAAGGTGATTGAAGCTACAGCTTTTGGGCTGGGAAAGGAGGATTCTGTCTTGAAAGTGGCAGTGAAAATGCTGAAATGTAAGTACCAGATCAGACCAGTTCCTAGGAACCAGATAGGCTTTCTTTTTTCTCTTTTCTCTTTGGCCCTACCAATTTCAATTTTTTCATATTTACTAAGAATTTTTTCTGATTTCTATCTATGGCACTACCCAATTCAATTCTTTATTTATATTTACAAAGATTTTTTTTCTTTTTTCTATATGTTTTCTCTTCAGCCTTACTTATTGCATTTTTAATGTATATTTACCAAATATAATAATAATAATAATAATAATAATAATTATCCCCCAGTGAGGGATAATAATAATAATAATAATAAAGTTGGAAGGGACCTTGGAGGTCATCGATACTAAAGTTTCCTTTTTCTTTTTTCATGCACTTTTCTTTTTTATTTTGATTTGTCTTTTAACATATGAATGTTAACCAAAGTTTTCTTTTTCCTAAGAAATTTATAAGTGACTTTGACCTTCTTTTCAACAGATGATTACACTCTTATTGCCTTAAATATTTTACAACACCACCACCCCCTTTTGGTCCACATCTTTCTTAACCTTCAAATCCATAAATCATCAATTCGTTTTTCCTCTTTCAATAAATATATAAGGTTTTAAATCTTTCAAAAAAACTCATTTTTGTTGTTTGTTCTCTGAGCAAACAGATTACTCTTGCCACTTCTGCAAGTTCTGACGCTTTCACAATCCATTCCTCCACCGTGGGATTCTCGTTTTTTCATCCATTGTTTGATCCACCCACTTCAATGACTCAGAGAGAAAGCCACAGAAGAATATTTGGGAAGTATGTATCCCTGTTGTAAAGTATGTGGATTCCCACAGTCACTCTTTCCCAACCATTACTGTTGCAGAAGTGGGCTTCTACACTAGCTAAGGTTTGAACTACGTAGTCTCATTGCAACTGAATGATTCTAACCTGGAGCCTTTCCATCATTTGGTGCTTTCATTTCAGGTGTCACGTCTATTTCCTATATCCTGCTCCCATATTTGACTTCAAATTAATTGTTCTCATGTTGGATTTCAGCAACTGCACATACAGATGAGCAAGAAGCTCTTATGTCTGAGCTGAAAATCATGAGCCATTTGGGTCACCATGAGAATATTGTCAATCTTCTAGGAGCATGTACTCATGGAGGTAATTATTCTTCTCTTCATTTCCTTTCTGGTTTGCAGAAATATTGTTTCTTTTCTATCATTGGTTGAATCATAGGTTTCCAAGTGAAGATGACAGTCACTACTTCAGTAAATATTTGTTTGAAAATATCAGATTCCCATCAAACTATAAATACCAACAATGGTTTAATTCAGGAACTTAAAACATATAGCATACCAGAAATTGAACTCAGCTTGAGAGATCCTTTATTTTTATATTCTCCTTCAGAGCTGTCTGAGTTGAATGAATAAGAGAGATTAAAAAATAATTCCGCCTTCCTTCACATTTTGAAGTTGCTAAGGTTTGAGAAATACTAGTTTAGTGGATCCTATTATGAATAAAGGATAGAAGTAGATGACCCATAAGTCATTCTAACTATGTGATTCTTTCAGTGGACAGCACTTCACTGATCAATGCTGCATGTAGCAGAAAAATGATTGAACTTTCAAGTAATGTTTCTTTTCTGTTTTCTAGGCCCTGTCCTTGTAATTACTGAGTTCTGTCCATTTGGGGACTTGCTGAATTTCCTGAGAGAAAAAGCTGAGCATCTCATAATCGAGGGTCTAAACTTGGAATCCACTCTTGATAGCATGATGGCCGATTACAAAAACATCTACCTTGGAAAAAAGTATGTCCAAAGAAGGTAATAAGTTAGTCATCAGTGACCTCCATTTATATGGAATGTAAAACTGTGTTAACAGTTTGTTAATACAGCTGACATTGAGTGACAGCATATTTAAGTGTGCAAAAAGTTGCCCAGAGTCACTTTGGAGAATGAGATGGATGGCATATACTTTTAATTAATTAAAATAGCAAGAAATTATTCTGTTGCAATCCCTAGTAGAGACTCCAATTTCTATTTTAAGACAGATATGAGGGTATTCTGAAGTCCTAGGCTCACATGTAAAACCCAGATCTCCCTTTTTTAGATGCTGGAGATCATTCCAACCATAACTAACAAAAATCCCCTACACTGTTTCCCAACATTTTAAGTCAAGAAACACACAGAAATTCTAGCCTAAATTTGACTATGTACAATTCAGAAATAGTCCTTTATTTACTGCAGGGATGAGGGAGAAACTCTTGCTTGTCCCTGTGTGTGAAACTGGTCTATTCACTTCCTCAGTAGACTTTCTAGAATTAAACCAAAACTTATTAACTATTTGGCGGGATAGATCTGCTCTTAAAACTGATAAAAACTACTGATGGTTTTTTTCCTCTTTTGATCTCTTTCATTCAGCGATAGTGGATTTGGATGCCAAAGTGTTGACAGTTACTTGGAAATGAAATCGGTCACCACATCAGTGCCTATGCCAGCACAAGGTAATACTCAAAGATCACTGCCAAGAGAACTGGAAAGACATACCGAAAAGGGGTATGTCTGTTCTAGAAATTTAGCAACATTATTAATATTTTAGCTAAATTGCTGTTTGCTTATTACTACGCATTTCTCTCTTTGGAGAACTCAGTAGAACCTGGCCTTCTTATCTTCATAATGGTTATGTAAGGTAGGCTTAACTGGCTGAAAGTTGTTTCTGGCCAGGATCTAATCAGCCAACCAGAAGTTCAGATGTAAACCCCACACTCCCAATTATACCAATGTCTTCTCACTACTGCTGCCAATGATCCCACTGACTCCCAATCTTCCCAATATCTTCCTGCCGAAGCTATCAATCTTTCATCCAGCCTACTCGCTGATCTTTCTAGGGTCTTCTGGCTACTTCTAACACACTTCCTGCCAGTTTGTCTCCTCATCTTCAGTTCTAAAAGTTTTATGTATTATTTTATTCAGCATGGAACAACAAAAGATTAGATAGAATTCAGGGAAAAAATGTGAATCTATTAGATTAAATAGCTTGATATCATGCCTGTCTCGGTGACCAGAGACCCTCATTTTGGAACTGGGGGCAAAACTTCCTAGTTTAAATCTTAGCCATCTCAAGATTTATTAGCTGAACTCAAAAAAAATATATTCTGATTTCCGAATAACTCTTTGTAAAACAAAGATATTTCATGAACTTGTCAAGAGAAAACTCCACATATTTAAATGTATGAAATTCAGCACAATGTATTTTTAAAATCTGGAAATAAGAAATTAAGTTAAACACTAATTTTATTACAAATCTAGTAATTTAGTTCACACTCTGCACAAGATCTAATATACTAGGGCTCTACTCTGATTTGACCAGAATAACAGAGTTGCAAGTGGCAAGAATCATCTGTTTGCTCAGAGAACAATATATATTGTTCAATAACACAATCTTCTATCTCCGGGAGAGGTATAAATCAGTTGTTTATTGCTAAAAAGATATTTAAAAACAATAAATAAAAAAACAACTTAGCTTTCGCTGGTCCCTTGCCAGCGTCCTCAGAGTGGGGCTCAGGGGGTGGGGAGATTCTTTTTATACACCTTGCTGGTCTAACTGCTTACTCATTGCCCATGTAATAGGGCCATCCTTCCTGATTAACTGGTTCTCCAACATGGATTCAATCAATCGATGCATAGAATTGCCCCTGCATACCAGACATTAAAAATACATGAGGAGCAAGTCAGGATGTGGATGGTGCTTACCCGAGGCAGAACCAGAACAGGGGAAGGCAGTCATCGCATGGCTAGGCAAAGAAAGGATTTGGAGGGAACAGGGATGATAGGGATGGATGGTGAAATATTGGAATCACTGATGGATGGATGGGGTGAAAAGGAGGAAGGAAGTGAGCATGGTGAAGGGTCGCAGGGGGGAGGTGACAATGAGAGGTCATTGGGAATGCCAGACCTGACCATACGACCCAAAACACGTAAGACAAGGATACCAAAGACAGGGTTAGCCAAGAGGGGGAAGGAGGGGGAAAGGGATAAAAAAGGGGGGGAGGTTGGACTTAAAAAGGAGCCAGTGGATAGTCCAACTAACCGTAGGCAGACGGGGCAGAGAGACAGGACACGATTGTGCACACGCACAGCCAGGTGGGAAAGGAAATTGGGGGAGATAAGGCTAATGAGGATGAGAGGGGCTGAGCCTAAGAGCAAGCCGATAGGCATCCCCACCGGTTGTGGGCAGACGGAGCAGAAGGCTGAGGCACGATGGAGCATGCGCACACCCGGGGTGGAGGGAAATCGGAGAAAAAAAGACTGACAGTAATGGATGACGGCAGACAGGAACAGCGTGCAGACCAGGGCTAGAAAGGAAGGGAGCCCTGATGGCAAGCCTTTTAGAACACTGGGTCTGAAAGCGCAGCCAAGAATGAGCAGGAGGAGCGGTTAAAGAGCACACCAGCAGCAATGGTGCTGGGAGGGACGAGATTGATAAGGATGAGAGAGGGGGAAAGTGTGGAATTGGAGTGCAAAAAAAGAGAAGGCGGGGCAACCAAGGCAATTAGAGATAATCAGGAAGGTTGGCCCACGGGCAATGAGTAAGCAGTTAGACCAGCAAGGTGTATGAAAAGAATCTCCCCACCCCCTGAGCCCCACTCTGAGGACGCTGGCAGGGGACCAGCGAAAGCTAAGTTGTTTCTTTTAACATTGGAAATAGTTGTTTTTATTGTTTTTAAATTTCTTTTTAGCAATAAACAACTGGTTTATACCTCTCCCGAAGATCGAAGATTGTGTTATTGAACAAATATGTCCGGGATTCGCATGGGGCTTGCTTGTATTTGCCTTTGGAGAAAGGCAAATTCGATGGAGGGATGATAATTATGTCCCCAGCTACCACTTTTTGGATTAGTAACAAAACTGTGGAAGTTGGACAGCCAGAAATGCATTTATTTGCTGTTCTGGCCCTCACCACTTCATTATTATCCAGATACTGCATCTGAATAGTTCAGTTGCTATGTGGTGATGTCTCCCTTACAAGGGATCTTTTTAAAGACGATCCTTCAGTTTGTCTATCCAACTCTCCATTCCCTTTTTTTCTTCCTAGTTCTTCCCTTACCTACACAATATATTATTTTACAACCTTTTTTGTTCTTTAATTATGTATCAATTGAACTAAGTTTTACTTACTCATTCTGCCTCATTGCTCCTTCCTGCAAATATTTTATAAATTAGCACCTATCTAAACTGTAAATACACCATAGGTCTGTGCATCTAGATTCTCCTTCCCCCTCCTTTTTCCTTTTGCCTTATAAGCAGTATTCCCTCACAGCATAAGGTTTTTATAGAACAGCTACTGCTGGTGGCACATTCATTGTGGTTTTTGGCCAAGGACCCTTATTATTGGAATGGCAAGCACAGGATAAATATGTGCCATCTGGAGAACTCTTAAAGCGTTACATTTGTCTTCCAAACCATGCCAGTTTGGCTGTTCTCTGTTTGGAACACTAAAAGTAGCCTCCTATTCTGAATGATTTACTTCTGGAAATTTTTCAGGCCAGCCAACTCAGTGTGATCCAGGAAAAAGGGAACATTTCATCTCTGGGATGACTGGGAAGTTTAATACATAACTACTACCTATAATTGCAGTTGCTAAATATTCCCAGTAATGGACACATAGTAATATGTGCATACGTTGTACAACAATAATATAGCAGATATAGATGTTAAAGTTATATTGCCATAAATAAAGCTCGTGCATTGTTGCAATGTTCTTTGTACAGCTATACTTAAATTCCTCAGTTACAGACGCAACATAGATTTCAATGTGCACAGGATCTGCATTAGATCATTGCTCTCCAACCGCTATCAGAAAAGCCAGAACTGGACATGATCCTTCTACATGCTGGGGGAGGGAGTGGGGAGTATTTTATTACTTCCTTTTTATTTTTATTTTATTTTGTAATATTTATAGATTACACCATTCAGTCGGTCTTTACTCAGTTCCTCAAGTTTCTTATAGGATCAGCTTGTTTCATGGAGTCTGCATGTATACCTAAAAAAATTATCGCTATTTTATATGCTGCGTTAACTTTAGTGAGATGTTTTCTTAAAGGGGCTGCAACTTTTTTTTCAGATTCATGCAGAAAACAGTGAATAATGACAAGCTGCTTTAAGGAAGACTGTCACACAAAATTGAAAGTGCTTTTTCCAAATTCTTTTTGAATTTGGAACCTTAGCATTTTCATCTGGAAGTCATTTTGCATGCAAATCACTGTTCGTGAATTGCATCTTTACCCCTTGCACCTTTATATTCTTTAATTATCATTCATTAAGGTATATTTCACAATTAAAGCTGATTTAGGTGTATACATTTTCTGGTCCCAAATCCTTTCCAAATATAAAACAGTTCCAATAGAGAAGAATATTTGAAGCTCTGGTTTGAAATGAGGGCTCTTTGGTACTCTCTGAGCTTGGTTATTTTCTTACAGACATTTCATTATCCAAACTAGGTAACATCATCAATGCTAGCAAACTCAGAAAGCACCAAAGAGCCCTCATAAAGCAGTTCTTTATATGTAAAGCCCATAGGTAAGCAAAACCAATTTATAGATAGAGCAATTATGGATGAGCAAAGAGAACAGAACTATTAAATCTCCTTCTACTCAGCAATTTCCAGCTCATTCTTGCAAATGCCTACCCCAAATTAATTCCATTAGTTCCTTGGGAGTTACTTATATTTAGTCTCTAGGTAGGTAGGCCTTTGTTATCATGAGTGATTTGAGATGAGTGAATTCTCTCAAGAGAATTATATTTTTTGACCTTTCTTATTTTAACGTCTTACTGCTAAGTTGCTTTCATAGCCCTCTTTGTGGCTGTCATTATCTATCAAAGGCATACCTTCAGTGACCTCTGTGAACTTTCTCCCAATCCAGGAAGAAGTTTGGTATCAGCTGAAGGAAAAGAAGACCCACGTTCTCTTGATCTCTTTGACTTGCTGCAGTTCTCCAACCAAGTAGCTCAGGGAATGACTTTCCTGGCTTCCAAAAATGTGAGGACTCTCTCCTGACAGTGCATATCATCATCCTAACTAAAAGTTGTTCAGGCCTAAGCTTGTTTTCCTGTATTATCTTCCTACCAGGAAGGAATTTTGTTATTACTACACAGAATAATATACAATCCTATCAGTTCATAGTGCTGTGATTCCTGAGACAATCCATGTATAATCTAAGAATTTGTTCTTAGGAGAGTGTACTACTTGGAAGTATTCTTTTGGATTATATCTTTAAGGCACAACTCTGTATGGCTTTTGAAAAAAATAGGGTCTGTGTAAGAGCGAGTATACAATCCTGTTAAGGATAGTATGAACATTGTATTCTCTCTTTTCTAACCAACATAAAAAGAAGCATTTTGATTGGTTGGTTGGTTGGTTGGTTGGTTGGTTGGTTGGTTGGTTGGTTGATTGATTGATTGATAAAAATTATATGGTTGCCCATTTAACATACAAATTTGGGCATCCATTTGAATATTTCTTTGCTTAAATGTTGTAGGAAGCAAGGGGCAATCTGACATAAACTTTAGCTTTAGCAAAATCCATCCTTTCTCCTCCCGGTGGGGGGAGAGAGGAGAACCAGCCTGCCACTCGCACAAGTTGAGTGGCCCGCTGCTCATATAAGTCAAGTGGCCCCCTGCTTACACAAATCAAATTGTGTGTGTGTGTGCACTGACCCGCCGCTCATGCAAATCGAGCTGAATGCATGTGCAAGTGCGCCAACTAGCCCCTCACATGGCCCAGTTGCAAACAGGGCATGGCCCCATAGTGGGCCATGGGCCGGTTTTTGGGGACCCCTGTTATAAATCATGTTGACAAGAGCACTCTCTTTGGTTCTTTATTACAGCAGAAGTCCCAAAAAATTATATTCAACAAAAAATCCAGTGGCTGAGACACAGATTCTATAAAATGATAGGTCTTTTCCTCTCTTCCTATACAGAGTTTGTACAAGTATTGTGTAGCTAAGTACTATTGCCTATATGGTACCCTAATAGCTCTGTCAACCTTTAAATAATGAATGCACTGAGACAGGAAAAGCTGCAAAGTAACATTTATAAGAAAGGAAACAACAACCAAGTGTATTTCTATTATTTTGATCTTTTAATGTCCACCTCCATTTCAAGAGAAAAAGACAATGGAAGAGTTCACAAAAATAACTTTGCAATAGTTAATTCAAGTAGTTGTATTAGCCAAACATATCCACAAATGATTACATCTTTTATAGATATATTGGCACAATCAGTAAGTTGATTTTTTGTATGAGGTGTCTATATGGCACTTTTTTTTCATTTGTTTTTCCTCTGTAAATTTTCAGGATTCCTATAGCTTCCCCATTATTCTAGATTGCATTAATTCCAGTGACCTAGACCACACAAAAACATTTAAAGTACCATGCTGAAGACTTTTGACTGCCCTTGCACTGGCCAAACTGGTCTGTATCTGCCTTGCTACTAATCAAGTTGTAGGATTAATAAATTGAAACAAAGAGCCTGTGAGTTCCCATCCTGCCTTAGGTCTGAAAACTGTCTATGTGATCTTGGGCCAATCACTTTCTCTCTTTGCCCAAGCCACCTTACAGGGTTGTTTTTGTGGGGGAAATAAGAGGAGGAATGAAAGTTAGGTATGTATGCTGCCTCGAGTTATTTGTTTTTTTAAAAAAGGTAAAAATAAATAAGAAGAAAATCAATTTGTCCCTTTCCCCTTTTTTCTCTCTTTCTTGAATCCAGTGCATCCATCGAGATTTGGCAGCACGGAATGTGCTAGTGGCTGATGGACTAGTGGCCAAGATCTGTGACTTCGGCCTGGCCAGGGATATTGTGAACGACAGCAATTATGTTGTCAAAGGCAATGTAAGTAACTGGAATGAATCTATACCAGTGGTGGTGAACCTATGGCATGGGTGCCAGAGGTGGCACTCAGAGCCCTCTCTGTGGGCACGTGCATCGTCTCCCCAGTCCTAGGCCTTCAGCTGGGTTTTATAAAACTTTTTCGCTTTATTCCGCCGCCATGTGCAAAAAAAAAAAAAAGGTTCAATCAGTCAATTTCAACTTCTCATGGAAAAAAAAAGATCTTGCAAAGTTGGAATTGATTGATTGAACTTTTTAGTCCCACCCAGTCTGCCGTTACCACCGCAGCCACGCCTATCCAATGGGCTACACCCAGCCAATGGGCCATGCCCAGCCAATGGGCCACACCCAGTCGACACCCAACGATACATAAGTGGGTTTTGGGTTGCAGTTTGGGCACTCGGTCTCTAAAAGGTTCACCATCACTGATCTATACATTTACATCCCCATAAAACTGAATCAAACTCTAGCTTTATCTGGCACTGAAATGCCTGTACTTATTGATAGCCACTGTCTAAGTATCCCTCCCACGTGTCCCTGGAAATCTCAGGGATCATCTGCATGCAAAGAAGGTGCTCTAATGTTTAACCTCTATAACGTCCCTGTAGGGAATGCTAAGCATAAGGGCTTCCTCCTCTCTGAGTTTATAGCGTATCATTCCAGGCTCGCCTCCCAGTGAAATGGATGGCACCGGAGAGCATCTTTGAATGTGTCTACACAGGACAGAGCGATGTGTGGTCTTATGGCATCCTTCTCTGGGAAATATTCTCCCTAGGTAAGGGAAGAACATTTCTTTATTGGTTTGTTTATGCCTGCCTGCCTGCTTCTTTCTATGTGGAAAGGCTTTGTCAAAAATGCGGCCTTGGGGTTCATGCCTGTGCACCCACCTCATGATGCAAAAATATGATTAACAGAATAACAGAGTTGGAAGAGACCTTGTAGGTCTTCTAATGCAACCTATACCATTCTGGACAAATGGTTGTCCAATCTCTTCTTAAAAGTGTCAGTGTTTGAGCACCTGAAAGCAAGATGTTCCACTGGTTTAATTGTTCCACTTGTCAGGAAATTTCTTCTTAGTTCTAGGTTGCTTCTCTTCTTGATTAGTTTCCACCCATTGCTTCTTGTCCTGCCTTCAGGTGCTTTGGAAAATAGCTTGACTCCCTCTTCTTTGTGGCAGCCCCTCAAATATTGGAACACTGCTATCATGTCCCCCCTCGTCTTTCTTTTCATTAAATTAGATATACCCAATTCCTGCAATTTTTCTTCATATGTTTTAGCCTCCACTACCCTATTATCTTTGTTGCTCTTCTCTGAATTATTTTCAGAATATCTTTTTTACATTGTGGGGACCAAAACTGAATGCAGTATTCCAAGTGTGGCTATACTAAGGCTTTGTAAAGTGTTACTTCACCTGATCGTAATTCTATCCCTCTGTTAATGCAGCCTAGGATTGCATTGGCTTTTTTGGCAAGACTCACATGCTTGCATTGTATATAAATAAGGATGCCAGTATATCAGAGCAGTTTCGGACCATCACATTACTATATACAGTATGTGCTATCATTTCAATGCAGTTTTGGCTTGCTGCAGACAAATAGCAGGGGTCACTTCATTCTGAGGAGTCAAGACAAGTTTTCAGGAATGAAAGGCTTTTATAGCATTCCTTCCAAAATTTCAATCACCTTAAACCAGGAGGATTGGTGGGTTTTAATGGGGAAAAAGTCATCCCTTAAACCCTGATCCAAAAATTAAATATTTTTCAGCTCCAAGCACTAATCATGACTCCTGCAAAGGCCAAGCAGGATGGAATGAAGAAGTGTAGCTCCTAGCCTGAAAAATGCTTATCTGTTGTGTTAGTACCTCTGTTTTCTCTGATCTTGCCCTCAAACTGCCTGCAAAGAATAACCGAGGTGAAACTGGCTTCTAAGAAATTTTAGCTAGTTCTATAGGGAGCATTCTAAAACTGCAGGGTCCTTCCTCTATACAAGCATTACCTATTTTCTTGTTTTTATAGGAAGAAGTCCCTATCCTGGCATGAAAGTGAATTACAAATTTTATAGCCTTGTGAAACAAGGATATCATATGGGGAAGCCAGATTTTGCTCCAGATGATATGTAAGTAAAAGAATTTCAGCTCCAGGTGCTTATCCACCCACCCATCCATCCTAAAAAAAAACTGAGGGAACCTTGATATCTTTCAAGATATTGCTCAGAATGCTTGTGATGTTTGCTCTGTCCACCTGTTTACAGGTTCTTCTGGTCACATGGGAATCATTTGTGTTCAATTGAATTCCATTCATTTTTTCATAAACCCTGTGTGAGTGAATCTGAAAATGATCCAATCAGGGCTGATTATATGGGATTCCCTCCTTTCCCTCCTTTCAGAAAGGTTGATGTTTATGCTGAGAAAAGACTCCCAGCCATCTCGGTTAGTTGTCTTTGGTAGCACCGTAGTACATCCACTCAGACATTCAGCCCATTGAATTTAATGGCTACATGCAGGAAGACTGGAACAGAAGCTTTATGATACCCACAAATAATCTAACTGCTAATTTCCCATTCACGCATTCATAATATTTTTCAAAGAAAACTCAGATGGGTCATGGAGCCTGAACCATGCCGAAGGAGGAATGAGACGGCACAATAGTACCCAAGGAGACCAAAGATGCAGATTCTAAGCCAGAATTATAAGGCCTGGGACTGTCCAATCAGCTGTCAATATTATCATGCAATTTGCTCTGAAAGTATCAGACTCAGATTTTTCTTCCTTGCCCACCTCCCGTCTCCAATACAGGTACAACATAATGATGGCATGCTGGAAATTGGAGCCCACTCAGCGGCCTACTTTCAGTCAGATCTGCACCTTAATTCAGAAACAGCTGGATGCTCTTAAGGAACAGGTGAATGGTTTATTTTATAAAAATTCAGAAACAAGTAGCTGGTTCAGCCCTCTAAGATTGTTCTTTCACATTTTTTATTTTATCATAAAGGTTGTCATAAACACCTTAGGCTACTCCTCATTCTCTCCTTTAAACCTTGTTCTCCACATATACACCCAAACACAGTCATTTGTATGCCTGGAAAAATGAAAAAAGGAGGTAAAATGGTATAAACAACAGCTTGAGTGCTCTACGTGGATAAATATATAAATAATGCAACACTGATCTCAAGGCCAGAGTAAATTAATTTTAATTACTTTAAATTTACCTTTTTTCAAAATAACACATTTCAGACTCTGAAGTATGTTTGTATTTTCTCTCTCTCTTCCTCTCCTCCTCCAAATTGTGAAGGATTATACAAACTTACCCTGCCCCAGAGAGGAAGAAGACAGTGGATGTGAGCCCGCCAGCTACTTTGAAGAATCCTGTGAGTCGGGAGAAGTGGAGCAACCCCTCCTGAACAGCAACAATTATCAGTTTTGTTAGGGTGTGTTCTGGACCTTCTCTGGATGATGAAATACCATCTGAGATTGGACTTGGATTTCATGCAACCGCATCCCTTTTTGAGGCTTTTACATCATAAAACAAGACAGCCATACGTAAGTCACAGACTGGGGTCGTGCCTTGCAATGATAGCAAATTTCTAAATTCTCCATTCTACCTGATTGTGACTACTGGCAGGAGGGCTTTATCGCTCCTGATAGTTTAAGGGAGGCTATATTGGACATTGGAGAATTGGTGCATCAAATTTGCAGAATGGGAGAGACTGTTAAGCGCAATCGCAGAGAACAAGGCTTAACAAGGCAGACGGACTAATTTTCTTCTCTATATACACCTTCCTTCTACAAACTATCAAACCTATAAAATATGTGAGAGGGAAAAGAGATTAGCCAAATTTTGAACTAGATGGGGGTTTTGCAGAGAAAGAACAGGGAACAGAAAGAAGCAGAGGCATTCCCATTGTAACCTGCCATTCTACAGTCATATCCTGTAGCTTAGGTGAGCAGACTAAGATCCACAGCAGATAAACCAAACCAAAAGAGGACATCACTGAAAGAGATGTGGCCTTTGGCAGTAGGCAGTAGGAGGGATGGTTAAAGATAAGGATGGTTATGGGAAGATTCCTCGAGACAAACTGCATTCATCTCATCCTTGAAACAACCTCCAAACCTGGAAAAATAACCAAAATTGTATCATTGTGCCACTGAGTTTTGGCACAGGTTGAAGGGAATGGGCCAAAAGTTGTCCATCCATCATAGAGAGGAAAATTGCTGGATCTGTAAGAAAGAAAATAAATCTAATTCTCCTAAAATTAAAAAAAGAAATCTTCAAAAGTTTTTTTAAATTATAGGAGAATTAGATTTAGGAGAATTGGATTTATTTTTCAAGAAGTAGCAACTCTATTTTCCTCTCATTTGGCGTTACCATTTCAGAACATGTGAATTACTTGGCATTAATTGTTTTGCTATTTGAAAATTATTACTGAAAGAAGGGAATATAAGCTACTCATTGTCCCTCTGTATTGAATTGGCATAAAACCCCCAATAAATAAATTACGGTGATTTTCAATAAAGACCAGTCTATTAGCTAAGATTAGATTTAGGTGAATAGAATAGAATAGAATAGAATAGAATAGAATAGAATAGAATAGAATAGAATAGAATCTGGAAGGGACCTTGGAGGTCTTCTAGTCGAGCCCCCTGCTCAAGCAGAACTTATACCATCTCAGACAGGTGATTGGCTAGTCTCTTTCTAAAAATCTCTAGTGATGGAGTGCCCCCATATCTTCACTTATTACTAATGAATACGGTACTTTATAATATAATCTTACAGAGGGTTATTTCAAATCAAAGACTATTAAATGAAATCAAACTTATTTCCAAATGAATGTATTAAGATTGTTGCCTTTAAATTTACTGATTTTCAATGTTTATGTGTTAGATGGGCATAAAGAATAAGTGCAAATCACTTTGGGGCACATCTTTTTGATTCTGAAAGAAAAAAAACCCATGTGATTGGGAATGGGATGAAATCTCAGACATGCAAGATAGCTAGTTTATTTTAAATAGATGTAATTTGTCCTTCAGAAATGCAGATTTTGTTCCTGTGTCTGTTAAGAACATTTTGATCAATGTTACAAAGACAAAATAAGGTACCACACCTGACTGCCATCATCTCCAACTTGATCTTGGCTGGATTTAGGCTTCCTCTCATCCTTGACGTCAAATGTCATTTTAGAAATGAATTATGTGAAAAGAAATGGAGGGAGATAGGAGAGAGGTCATTACTATTGTTTTGGCTGTGGCTTTGTCCACGATTAATTTCTAGCCTGTACAAGAGTTAACTTTTCTTGTGAGTTAGCAGTCCTTCTTGATTAAAAAGGCATTGTTGTTTCCAGATTAGAAAAACCATACCAAGAATTTGGTGAGGTAGAATTAATATTGTTAATCTGTCTAATCTACTTTTTGGGATTACCCATAGCTAGTATGCAAAATAGCTATTATTCTATTGAATGAATCATGTGCAATGCCATGATTATATTGTTGAGTGCAAGGCAAGGACTTATTATTCAGTAGAGCTTATTGTTCCTCGCTATACTATTATCTCATTTTTCACTCTTTTGACTAGCCTAAACCTCATAACAGAGACAACTACATCTGCAACAATAGGAGGCACTGAATTTAAAAGGTATATTTGAAAGTATTGTTGCAGCTCAGATCATCTAAGAAGCCTCTAACATCAGAATAAAGTTCTGGAAAATTCTGAAATTAAGCTAGAATTGTACATCTGCGTTAAGCTCTAGAATAATTGGTAAAATGGAAACTCTACTGTTCCTCTAGTTTCCATTTTATCAATTATTCTAGAGCTTCATGCATATGTTACAATACTAGTTTAATTTGACAACTAGCTTACTCTGGAAAATATTATCCATATTATCTTGATGGGCAGTTTATCTGATGGGAAGATGATGCCACTCAGTCTTCCCACCAGGTGCAAGGAGAATCAAATTGTTCACATACTACTAAATTAGAGTAATGTGAGTGCTGTAAAAGAAAGAGTAGTACTACCTGAAATTGTAGCTAAGTGAAACTATAGAACTGTAGAACTGAACACTTTTGAGTTAAGAGGATGCATCTACATTCTATCTTCATATTAGGTTATTGTAACATATTAAATCAGAAGGCAGTATTTGAAGTCTTAATTAGAACCTCAGTTACACAACACAGCTGTTAAGTTATGAACTGGAAGTGGTCATAAGAATCTTCTTCCCACTTTAATGAGCTACCAAACTGCCATTTCATTTCTGAATATCATTTAACATGCTAGTACTGTTTTTTTTAAGAGCTTAGTAGGATCAGAAGAAGCTTACATGGCAAAATTCTAATATTACTTCAATCAGGCTTTCTAGTGTATTATGTACAGAGGTCTTTATTATTATGTTGGATTTCATCACTCGATCATTCCTTATTCTATGATCAAACTGATCTTTTCATTTTTAATATTTATCTGCCCTTTGCATTACTGAAAGAAGGCATAGCTACCTAGTATTTTGTAAACTCAAGAGAGCAAGCAAACTGCAGTACTGGCAACATAAGACTACTGACGTTAGGTATTTTTTTCCAAGCTGTTTTTATAGAAAATAACTGATTTTTTTAAAATTCCTATTAGAGGACAAATAGGCAATCGGTGTGGGACATTTAACAAGTATTTGTTTTGTAGCATGCATTACACATGGTATACCTGAAACACTGTGTGGTAATTGTACATATTGCAACTCATATGCACAAGTTGCCAAAGGTTTTACTGTCCTTGACTGCACTTCTATTTGATAAGGCTGTGCAAAGCACCACTCTTTAGAATTGTTAAAGCAGAAAAATTGTTTACAAAGTTCATGAAACCGCTTCTGCATTCTTTATCTATTTAAAAAGAGGTTCTTCTACACTGCAATCTCTTTCAGGTAGCACAGCCATTTGTTTTCCACAGCAATGGCTTTAAACTTGCGCTACACCCGAACAGCTCCAAATAACTGTCATGATTTACCCACTGTTTAATAATTGCTCATTTTTACACAGGTTTTATGTAAAAGATTACTCACTTTGCTAAGCAGTCACCTCTGAAGCTCACGCAAATGAAAGAGAATATTCATGATGCTTAGCCACGATTGTCTTATACAAGTTATAAAATCCATTGGTGGATAAGGACATAAGGACAGGGAACATGTTTTTTACTGCACAAAACTCCAGCTAAACAAGAATACTAGTGCTCAGTTATTGCCAGATGATTATTTTTTTTAAAAATTAACTGCTGTTTCAGGCATCTTAATGTAGCAATTGCATAAACATGCATTTATTTGTAATTCAGCTAACATGAAAAATAAATCAATTTGATCAAGTAAACTTGCAGTCTTTTTAAAATCAATTTATTTTTTTTCCCTGTGTAAACATATGACTTTACAAGGCTGATTTTTACAAAGTCCCAATAGTCAATATCAGAGGATTATATTAATTGCAGCACTAGTTATGTTAATTGTGTTAAGAAAAAAAGCTCAGCAACCTGATTGTCTGATTCTATGAACTCTTGTATAATACAACTTTATTTAATATGGCTGCTAAGATCTGGGAGATGGGAGGGGGGGAAGGGGGGAGAGGGAGAGAGAGAGCCTGTCATTTGTAGCTTTGTGATGGAATTATGATGAAGTTTGGTGGTATGAGAAAGTTTTGTATTGTTATTTACCTGTTAGCCATCCAGAGTTACTTTATATAACATGAGCAGCCATATAGATCCTTTAAATAAATAACCAAGCATATATAAAGCATTATTCTATCCTGAATGTTGAAGCACTGGTATTGCCCCCTCTGCTGTCCAAGCAGTAAGAAGGAAAATAATTCAGTACTACAAGAATGGAATGATTAAAAGCTGAAACACTTTAGTTTAGAAACCATTGAAATTAATAATACTATTTCAGATAGACACAATAAAACAAAACTTTAGAGGAAAAGCACATTTAATTTTTTGAATGGGAGAAAAAAAAATAGAAGTATAAACAGCATGCATGGCCTGTGAAGCTAGATCTGCAAATCATTTGTGGAGTGTTATTAACCTGCCATAATAAATGAGATTTGCAAAATCTAATTGAATATTAAAAATAGATACAAATCATTCCTATTCTGTTTTTATCCTTCATAACATCTAAATGAGCTCAGATTATAAAGTTAAGAAAACAAAACATGCATTTATTCTGGCTCTAATTACCCAATCATTAAGTGTTATAACGAAAACAATTTAAATTCAGCACCAATGGATTCTGTAGGGTTTTTTTCCCAAAGGAAATAAAAGATTAATACTGTTTCAACACATAAAATTAATCTTTTCCATGCAAACATTTCATAAAGAAACACTTCCACTACATGGATTGGTAACTCTATTCTTTAACAACCAGAATGAGATTTCTTTCCCCTGTACCTTTCAAACTCCTGAAGCTACAAAATAAGGAAAACTCATTGTCCAAATAGTTTTACTCTCCAACACTGGAAGAGATAATTTATTAAAGTTTACCACTGACTTAAAAACTGTATTTCATAAATTAGCATTTTAAACAGCAAGTGATACGTTTTGCTGTGAACTTTAATAAGTTTCTTTTTTGTTGTTTTTTTACAGCACAATACACACTAGAACTCTTCACAGAAGAGAGCTTTAAATCCATACCACAAATCTGAAGAAAACATAGTGGATAACTTTACCTCAGTCAGGGAAAGTTTCCCCACATTTCAGTGGTAGCAAAAATCTATTTTTTTACTTTGTAGATTTATGGATGGCCAAGAATGAACACAAATCAGTGAACAATGTAGAGCTTACACATCATGGCTCAACACATTACACAGGAAAAACAATATAATTATGACAGTATGAACTCATACAGATCAGATTTATAACACTGGAATAGTGGAGTGTGTAGTGGTTTCCAAATGGCCCTTGAAAGTAAGTTGTTATGTTGCATGCCTAACAATTTTAGCCATAGAAACAATTAGAAAAAAATATCTTATTAGATTGTATTCATGGAACCCAACCATTATTCCACAAATATCTTTAGTAGCATCTGTGGTCACAGGAATAAATCATCAATTAAGTCCATTAACTGGATTATAAAGTAAAGTGCCTGAATATCCCCGCCCACATCCTTTATCCAAAACATATAAACCCCTGAAAAACCTTTGAAATGACCATGCTAGTCAGGGCAATGATACTTCTAGCAGCTTATAACTTAATATGCAAGCCAGTCTAGCTTTCAACCACTAAATAATGTGTGGCTTTGTCAGATTGATGCAAAACAAGCTGAAGAAGCACATAAACTCTCAACCCTCCATTGCCAAGTCAAAGTTCAAGTCTTTTCAGAATAGAAACTTAAAGATCTAGGTTCCAAATGTTCTTCAATCTATGATGGCCACTTCAGAATATTGGAGCAGTCACACGTTTTACGCTGTTTTTTCACTTTTATGCATTTCCAGCAACATGCACACTTAAAAAAAGTGATGTTCTGCAAACATATTTTCTTTCTCTTGTCAGCAATAGAAAATTATTCTGTCTTAGAACAATTATCCTGGGTTGCTTCTAGGTTTACCCAGCCTCTTGAAAAGAGAAATTTGTTCGTCAACAGCAATTTGTCTACAGATCAGAAGCCCAATCAATAGGTCATGACTCTTAGCTTAACATAGTCCTGTGCTGGACTGGAACTTTCTGTGACAAACTGCTTAGCTATTACGTCTGATCAAGGAATGGTCACCTTGCAATATATTAGACAACCCCTTCTTCTTCTTGTATCTCATCTTCATCCATTTCTGTCTTGATCTGGGCAACACCAAGACGATATAGATTGTCCCGGATTACAACCTCACCAGGTTGGCAGCTTTGAACAATTTCATGGATCTGCCTGTTCACAACCTCACGACTGGAGAGGAAATCTATCAAACGATTGTAGAGATAATAGTGGGTTGCACTGTCAAATGCTATAGGGTTTTGGCGAACATTATTGGTTTTGCTGTCGTTGATGGCTGTAATGATAGCACCATAAGGCTCCAATTCCCGGCACAGAGAGAGGGAACGGTGTCGAGCCATTGGATCACCTTGGGTCTTCTGCTCTGTCCCAGTGTGAACTACAAAGCGAGATGCTGACTTAGTGATTGGATGCTCAACAGAATGTTCCTCAGTGGTTGTATCCACATTGTAGTGCCTGTCAAGGAGTTCTGGGCAAGACACATACTGATGGAGGAAAAAAAAGCAGACAAAAGTGATGTATGCGTTACAAAACACTTTGTATTTACAGTCTTCAAAGTTGGCTTAGCAGTAAAAAAAAGTATGATCTCAAGTTCAAAACTGTCTGGCTGAAGGCTTTTTGAATAACCTGTACATTTTCATACCATGCGTACTTCTATAAAATTGGAATAGTAACTGACCATTCCCAAGGAGGATATATTGAGCATCGACCAAGCAGTCAAGAACAAATGATGATATAAATATACATCTTGAATTAAATGATATAATTTTAAAAACTTGGAATTATATTTATATAGCTTTTTTGTAAAGTGCATTGCAAAAGAAAGGGGCAGTGATGCCAGTTTTTTAGATGGAAGAGGGCACTGTAATGATCATCCCTGAAAATATTTCTTTATGTTTAGTGAAAACATATTAGTTTGTCTTTTTCATTCTTATCAACATGTTACATTTTGAGGATCAATACAGATCCATTCCTGGTGTTCAGGAAAGGGGACATGGTTTCTACTCTTTGGCTGATTTAAAAAATGAATTTTAGAGGGAGACAATAGGTAAAATCCTTGCTTACTCCAATACTGTGTTCTAAATAAATGGGAATAAGTACTGTTGAAGGAGCTACATAAATCATCTAATAGTATAACTTTTAGTGAATATCATTTAGAGAATTATTATCAAAGTTAATCTACAGATCTTTATAAGCCATGATTTTGTCAAAGAAGCAGAAAAACTATGCATGGTAACTATTCCAGATAAGTTAAAGTATTGGTAATGATTTTAATCTTCAAAGAAATACATGGCAACTAACCCTTAAAGACTCCATAGGGTCAGAGAAGCAACCCTGGTTTCTTCCCCACATCTGAGCAGTCAAGTCAGGGTAACAGATATCTGCACACAATGCTACGGAAGTGGCCATATCTACGACATAGACTGGTGGCCAGTGACGTGAGGAAGTTAGTAGATCTACATGGTCTCGGGGACTTTCCCCTCTAACAATATATTTTGAACCACACACAACCTGTAAAGAAAAAAGATCAAAAAAGATTATAGAACAACAAAAGAACGGGACAAACTCTCACTCAGTTTCCCAAGGTAATCCTGATAATTTACACCTGTATTCAAACTTTAGAACACCCAATGTAATTTTCATCACACAGAAGCTTATTCCCTTACACTCTGTAAAAAGTATACTAATACAACTTTCAAATAATATTTTTCAAGGCAAGCATCAAATGATAACAAAATACTATTAATATCAAATAGGGATATAATAGAAGAGAAAAGCATCGTATTTGATCCAGTATTACACTAATGTACGGCTAAAACAGAAAATATATGATTCGATAAAATACATTTATATTTTATACTTCTATGATTTTATATATTCAGGTAAAAGGATAGAATGGAAGCAAGGATAGAATGGTAGAATAACAATATAATGAATGCCAGTTTTAAGGTAGATTTTGTTAATTTTCTTTTTCTTTCTCTCCAGATTGTTATTTTGCTTACTTGAAACACTTTGCTTACTTGAAACACTGTTCACTCCTGGAACAACACAATAGTATGTGCCTGTTCCACTAACCTTAAAAGTACATTTTCTACTATAGGAATAATCCATACTCTACCTATTCTGGAATGACATATTAGTAAGAGATGGGCACTAACTAGAAAATGTGTTTTGTTTCAAACACAGATTAAAACAACCCCATTCAACACATTCATTAAAAACATATGAAATTGATTTTGTTTCATTTAACTAAAACTCAAGTGGCTTGCAGAGTTTTTGTTTCTCTCTCTCTCTCTCTCTCTCTCTCTCTCTCTCTCTCTCTCTCTCTCTCTCTTCTTTTTGAGTACAGAAAACACTGGGACCTTGGGAGCAGCAGTTACTATGACTTTGTTTTATATTTGTTTCAATAAGGAAGTGTTGTAGTAGCCCATACTGAATGAAAATTACCTTCCAAATCACAGACAATTCAATTAATTTTTAAGAAAATTGAAAACCTTCAAATAAAACCCCCAAAGCAATGAGAAAACAGATGTGCAATCTTGTAATTTATTTACAAGACAAACAGCAGCTAAACTTAACAACATGCCTTTCAATTATCATCTCTCTCCTACAAGTGTTTACTAATGTTGTGGTTCTTTAAAAAAAACACCATTGACCAATTATTTGTAGGCAACAGCCTTTTCTTTTTCTTGCAGAATTCCTGTTAGTCTCAAACCCAAGCATCACCTACCTACAAAATAAATTATAGCACAATTGTGAACCCACCCATCTATCCCCATTAACTCTAACTTCTGGATATCAAAGTTTTTATAAAAATACCATGACTGTAGGGTAGAATAGCAGTTATGCAGTTGTGATCATTTTTCCATGTTCAAAACTGAACAGTGGGCTTAGCTTCATGCTTTCAACAAAACTTCTAAAATACATAGGTTTGTTTCCACTCTTGGAATATTCACAGTGGCCATTTTCATTATGAACATCCTTACATATTGCTGTCATTTTTTTTTGTCAGCCTTACCTGATGTGGACACACTTTGTAGATTTTCCCTCCTGTTAGGAATGCTGGAGGCTGACTGATTTGTGTCCCATTCTGTACAAAATCATAAAGAGCCAGAAGAGAAAGACAGAGCTGCTCCTAAGAAACAAAGAGAAAAAAACGGGCAACCAAGTTTTTCCAACGCTCTTAGCTTACAAATAGCCAGCGGCCTGCAAAATCAAGGAGGATAGAGACAGACAGGTGGACAACTGCAGTTCATCTAGCAGAAGTGATTAAACAGTGGCCCACAGGTCTTATTTTGCTTCAGAATGCCACAAAAAAAATGGGCATGAAATACACTTCATCATTATTAATCATTTGTGAAATTAAAATCGTTTAATTTTACAGATTTAATAAACATAGAAAGGACTAGTGGCGGCGCAGTGGTTAGAAAGCAGTATTTCAGGTTGACTCTGCCCACAGCCTAGAGTTCAATCCTGATGGGGCTCAAGGTTGGCTCAGCCTTCCATACTTCTAAGGGCAATAAAATGAGGACCCAGATTGTTGGAGCCAATATGCTGACATTGTAAAACTGCTCGAAGAGAGCTGTAAAGTACTATGTGGTGGTATATAAGCCTAAGTGCTATTGCTATAGAAAGAGGGACATTACATTATGCAGACACTTGAAGAAGGAAGGCAAGGAAGTAATGCTTCCTTCAAAAACGAAGCATGGCTATATCCTTGAAGAACATTGTTGATTACCTTGGAGTCCCCGTCCTCCCAAGGAATGCTGCACTGTGTCAAGAAATTTTGCAGTTCTTCCTCACTGTAGGAACCAATCTGTTCCACTTTACAAATTTCATCCTGAATCAGCCTCACTAGAACACTTGCATTACCTGAAAAAGCAAGATACAGTTCTCAGTAATTGCACGCACCCAGGTCAGCATCATTTCCACAGCCTTTAGCCCATGTCTGAAGGCCATATCTATGTCACGTTCATCAGAATTCACAGAAATAAAACCATGTCTAATATAAACCTAGGAAATGCTATTATGAGCATGAAAGTGTTGCTTTAAAAGCTGTCCCTACAGCTTTTCCTAGGAAAAAAAAAGGTAACCATTACATATTTATCTCTGCAGCCATGCATATCTGGGGCTAGCGTGCAATCTAATGTGGCACAAACGTGTAAAAGCACACTCCTTTTCGGCAAAGCATACTGAGTTTTTAATCTTAAGTGCCACTAAGGATACCATCAAAACTACTGCTTAAAAGGGTAAACAAGAAAAGAAATTAGATTGCCACCTGGGATTATATGCGATTCAAGATTCTTCTCCCTTTCTGTGTTGACTACTACCGTGCTCCTCATTAGTGGTGGAAAGAAGGGAGCTATGATGGAGGCATCAAACTTTGTGATAGGTATACTGGAGGGAAAGGCCACTTGCTCTATGACTTCTGTCTCCATGGTTGACCAAAAATCTTCTACATTTACCTCACTAGATGTCAAGAATTCTGGCCAGGTAAACTAGCATTGAAAAAAAGGAGGAAAGAAAAGTATAAATATTTCATTGTTACTGTACACATTAGTTCATCTTTCTCAAGAAAGTTACACTTTTGTTGTTTCTTTCATTGTTGCATGACTTTTTATTTAAAAGGGCGTGTTAATAGAAAACCAAACCATCAATTTTGCTGAAGCAAAAGCCCACCTTTGTACATTCTATAGTAGAAGGATGAAGATGTTTGAACAAAATATGCACATCAACATTAGCAAAAAAGTGCAGCTTTAAAACAATGCATTCCCGGTCTACCTCAATATTCTTTAGTGACAAAACACTTTCCACATTCCTCTGAGCTATTTCAACTTTTGGTGCAATGCCACAGACACCACAGATCATATCATTGTAGTCTCGGACAGTAAGGCACTCAAAGGCCCAGTATCCATTGCACAGCAGTTCCTCAACTTGATTCACCTCTTCAGGACCCAGGTTTCTTTCTGAGGAAGGAAAAAAAAGAACCAATGAGAATAATTTCTATCAAAAAGGCTCATGCAAATCCCTATCTGTAATGACAAACCACCAACATGGAGTTTCAAACTTTTGTTTCAGATAGAATCACAGAAATATTAATTTAACTATAACTTGCTAAGACTCAACACTGTTTACTCATTAGGTCAGGGGTGTCAAACTCGCAACATCATGTGACGTGTCACAACGTATCGCAACTTTTTTTCCATTGCCGGCAATGGGGTGGGAGCGGTTTCAGCATGACGCATCCGGCAATTTGACACTCCTGCATTAGGTGAATTAAAGTTGGGCTGGTTTTTAAAGATGACAAGGATAGTACTGATCACCCACTCAGGTCAGGAACCAATGCTCTAACAATGATCTGACAGCTATACTTGAACCACAGGCAAGTCATACAATTCAGTAACTTTAATATCCCTCTCTTAGAACAGCAGGGAAAAACTGCTTTAAGGAAGGAAGCTTTATATTTCAGTAATTCTCTATTCAAGGTTCGCAGATTATCCTAAGAAATAAAACTTTCATAACATTATATATTCTATTTTTACTGGCCACAAATTATAGCCTGCCACCCCTTTGCACCAAGCAGTCACAGTGTGAAGGTATTCCATCTTAAATTACATCATACCAACCATCTGTCTTAAATACTGACTTTCTCACTTGGTTAAACAATAATTTTTGCAATCTCTCCATTCCACCTTTCCCCAGTTTTATATTTTAAGGCTTGTTCCTTGTTCTTCAAGGTTGAAATATTAAATGAGAGTTAAATCACAACCTCTGGATAATTTTCTAAATATAGAAAGAATAGATTCTTTTCTCAAAATCATTAAACCACCAGCATTTTGGACAGATTGGGTTGGAAAAGCTATCTATATTAAACTTCACTTATAGCAAAACTACTTTATTACAAAGCAATGTCTGAAAGCTGTAGCAAAGGCAGGAAAAAAATGTAATATTAATACCTGTGTGTTCCTGCACAGTTTCCAAAATCTTGCTAATTATCCCTTTAGGATCCTCGCCAAGTTTTATATGGTTTCTTATTGTAAACAGAAGGTCTAGGCTCACTAAAAGCTTGTTACCAATATTAAACAAACCTATAATTGAAAAACAGAACAGCCGTTACTATGGATTTGAAAAAGTTACACAGACCATAAAATAACTTGGATCTCAACTTCCAAGTTAATAAATTAAAAAGGCACCATCCAGCTTCACTAGGGAAATAAAGGAAGGGAATGGACACCCTAAATGTATTCTGCCCCTCAAAGTTTCCAATTTTATAAATGCCTCCATGCTTTTAAACTCACCGGTATAGATATCACTGAAGCTGTGAAGGGCCAAGCACTGCACATTCACACACACTTTGAGCTGGGCGGTGACAACTTGCAGCCGATTAGCTGTTAACAGCCAGCATTCCTGAGGGCCTGCAAGAGAGCTATGGAAACGGAAGAGAAAATTGTATATTGATCCATGAAACACAGAGAAGATGGGTCTTTCTATAATGCTTAACTATGCAGAAGTAAAAGCAAAGCATTTTCAGAATAGCTATCTTACTGATCAGGCAAGCAAGACTATACTGTTAGAACACAGTTCCCTTCAGTCCCACTAAGGTAAAACTAATCTTGATTCTTACATGTATGATTGGGGGGGGGGCAATGCTACAGAACTAGGCCTTTTTTTTTTCATTCCTCAGTTTTAAAAATCTTGGAATTTCCAGGTAGCCCACTCCCGTTCAAACAATAACCATGGCCAACCCTGCTGAGTTTCTGATATCAGCCAAGCCTCCTTAGATACAGCTATCTGCTAAGCCTCGACTAAACATAGTTAAATAACCTTCTTGAGTTTCCTCCTGGCAATCTAAACTGGTAATGATTGATTCAAGGTACAAGACCTAGGGCCTCAGATTAATATTATTTATCTGAAAGGTTAGGGTTACAACACAAGAATTCCAGTAAGTACTCCACTTTCAAATAAGATACCCATATATAGTTGTCTTGAGGATAATATAGCCCTTGTCTATTTCCTCGTGCTTTTTTAACTTTTAAGGAGGGAAATTTGTCTCTTTTGCTACCTGTTTTGATCAGCTTTAAAAAAAAAACCCAAACACTTATCCGGCTAATGCAACTGAAGAGCGAAATTGCAAAATAGCAGACATAATCAGATACTACAATTATCTTCTATTCCTTTCTGAAGAAAAGTGAGCTGTACCTCACAGATGTAATGTCTGTTCAGATTATATTTCTGAATCTCGATTAACAAAATTAGACTACCCAGGTAATTTTCTCAAGCTACAGGATAAAAAAAAAAAGATTTAATCAGGTCCTGGGATAAGGACATGTGGAAAAGAGCAAATAAACGTCATAGCCTATTCTTGATGGGTATGGACAAGTAGTTCTTCTGATAGTTTCATTTCATTTCAGTCATTAATGTGACAAAAATACAAATGCAACATCTTTTATAAGCCCCCTTTTCTAAGTTTGACTGTGGAGAATTTTCAAAAGGAAATGCAACATGGTAAGATTAAGAAAAGTGACAGTAATTGCAATTTCACTTACTTTGGCCCTCCTTTGAATAAAGGGCTGTTACAGAGAAGGCATTGGGAAGAAGGAAACTCATAATAGTTTGACCAGGAAGTCTGCTCAATGGTAACCGTTTCTTCGTTCATGTTAGACAGGATGAGCCGGGAGCTATTGAGTTCGTGAATCAGTGCAAAAACATCCGAGAGTTCAGATTCATTCTCTGGGATCTGAATTACTTTGCGCAGAAGTTGCAGAGTGGACTGGCGTTGAATCTCTTTTTGGGACTGAATTAGAGGCTCACTGGTATTCAGTACATGTGCAGGGCTAGAGGTGACTTCCTACAAAAACATATTACCTTGATTATCTGTTAAGCCACTTGTTGATCTTACTGCTGGCAGGGTAATTTCTGTTATCTTGCTGATGTTTAGAGAAAACCGCTAATGGATACAAAATACCATCAAGCCACTGGCAGTGAGTGCAAAAGAGGATACCGGACTAACAGAAACCATTCATCACAATTAAATTTTACTTTCTTTAGATGGAAGAGTTAGTGAACTAGATATCTTGCGCTGTATGCTTGATAAAGTGAAGGAGGTTATTATTTCACTATACTATGGCTATATCAAGGAAAACGAATTAAAAAGTATATTAAGAAAAATAAGGATTTCAATCCAGTTGCTGGAAAATCAGAACGTCCTACAACCCCACTGCTATTGAATTCCACTGTTAGCCCAACGGAAAAAGGCTTCAAAAACTGAACTGCTTCAGTAGACTGGCTTAAAACACTCAATACTAGAAAATTTCAGCAATGATCTGTATTTGGTCACAGATTTATGAACTTATGTACGTAAAAATCAAAATGAGTCACTGGAAACGTTTTAATAAAAGAGGTGTGAGGTAAGACAAGTTCAAAAGTGAAATAGCTCACATACAAGTCTAAATTCTAAATACAGGTAGTCCTTGACTTGCAATAATTCGTTTAGGGTCAGTTCAACGCTATAACAGCACTGAAAAAAGTGACTTATGACTATTTTTCACACTTCTGACCATTGCAGCATCCCCAGGGTCAAATGATCAAAAATCCAGACGCTTAGCAACTGACTCATATTTATGACGGTTGCAGTGTCCCGTGGTCATGTGATCACCTTTTGTGATCTTTTGACAAGCAAAGTCATTGGGGAAGCTTCTCTTAACAAGTGTGCTACTAATTCAACAACCAGAGATTCATTTAATAACTATGGCAAGAAAAGTCACAAAATGGGGCAAAACTCACTTAACAAATATCTTACTTACCAACAGAAATTTTGGGCTCAATTGGGGTTGTAAGTCAAGGACTACCTTTCGTTGTTCACAATGATTCCTATAAGTAATAAACTGCAAATTTCCATTCAATTTGTGTATGGGGATGGAGGCAGAAATATCTCCATTAAATTAGCAACCTCTCAGCATTATCAGTCTGATTCTTTCTCTCAATTACTATTTTAAGAGGATGAAATTCAAAACCAACAAAAGTGACATATCATCAAGTCACATGGACACATGGACACAATTAGTCTGAGAAATGTATTTCACATCTCTAGCCATAAACTATATATGTCATCACAGAAGCTGTTAAAAATGAAGAAAAAAAGGGATGGGGAAATTTCAGGACAAAAACGTCAGATCAACTTGCCTTGCGTAGTTTCACACACTGCATCCCTATCTTTACAGCTGCAATTTGGCACTAAATTACAATATTGTAGCTGGACTAAGGGAAGAAAGGCCATGGTGTTGTCATAAGAACTAATAACTGAACAAGAATAGGAAATATTATTTTCCTCAGAAAATCAATGCAGACTCTCACATTTTGAAAATATGTTAAGGACTACTCCTTCCCTGCCTGCAAATTAATGCATCCATGAGCTAACAATTCTGACTGACCAATGAAAGATTGGTTATCAACACAGGATCTTTCCCTTGATAGTCCTGCTACATCTCTAAATGCAACAGAAGGTCAGGAGAAAATATCCTGTTTCTTTCCCTCACCCTCTTTAGCACCAGTGAAAGGGGAAGACAAGCTCTTGCCTACAACAAAGTCAAACCTTGTGGTGAGGCAGAGATTTGCTTTGTCTCTAGGCCTATCCTACACGGATTTATTCAGAGATAAGGCCTATGGATTTCAAGATTACAGACTCACTTGAAGGAAGCTTAAAGGAACCGTAACTCACCACAGATTTTGCTCCTTTCTCAGTTCTGTCTTTGACAAGGTTGTAGCCACAACGGGGACAGACTCTTGGCTTGTGACGATTAGTGTACACATAAGTGCAGGAAGGGTTCTTGCATTTCCCTCTACCACGTGAGGTTGCCAATCCCAAATCCTATATAGAAAGCTCAAATGTTTTATCTTATTTTAACTGTACTACGTTTTCCAGAATATATTTTCAAATATCAGCAGTACAAAACTATGGAATTGGTTGCTATGCTGTAAATCAGCGAAAACTATTTATCTGAAAAGTAATTAGCCAGGAGGTGCTCATGCAAACAAATCTGAATTATTAATAATGGTATAGAGAAGTATTAACATTTCATCAAAATGCCAAGAAAAAAACATATTTATTATGGATTAATATCAAGTCAGATAACAATTTCCATTTCACTGTATTATTATGAGACGTAGGCAGGTAAGAAAAATGCATCAAACTGACTTTCTTTGCAAGAGGACTAGTGAATGGTGAATTAGATTGTTACACTTCCTTTTTTTCTTGCTTCACACCTTTAATTCCTTTGGTTTACTATTTCTTATTCTCTTTCAGGCCTTTCCATAAATTAGTCTAAACAGAAAGAGTGTGGTGGGTATGTGTACAGCGCATACCAACATCTAGGATAACAGCACACAATCCCCAAGTTCATTTATTAGATAGTATTTAGGTACTGCAATCTTACAGATTTCCAATTGCCAATTATTCTTACCAAGGTTACAGTGCAGCTATATTTATATGAAGGGAATACATCTGGCTTGACCTCCACCACTTTGACCTGAGATGTTGAGCTGTTTGGGCTGCAGTGAAGCTTTAGGCAAGAGAACAAGAAGGCAAGACAAAAACATGAAGTGAGATATACTGTGATGTTTTCTGACAAAAGAACCCACATCGTTATAGTCAAAGTTCACAATTCTTCATGCTACATTACTTGGCTCCACTCAAAACTGCTAAATCCCAGGATGTGTGGAATTTCACCCAACTAGGTCAAGATTCCATGAAGCATGGAGGATTCAATTCAGCCCTCCCCTATTTGGTAATGAACAGAAGTACCTGCTGTATAAATTCTCCGAACTGGTTCAAAATGCTTTCCATTAGAAGACTGAATTCAAACTAGTCTATTAATTAGTAAACTGAAGAACAGAAAAGGAAGCATTTTGACAAAATCTAAACTTACCTTCTGATCTTCAGCACTGGATGCTTGAACAGGATTCTGACCCAGCTGCTTCAGAGTATTTGGCTTTAATCCTGAGATTCTTATTGGGGAATTGTCTTCTTGGAAAAACATGTAAATGAAAATTTTAACATGGGTAAGCAACATATTGAATTACATCAAGTTTTACAATAAGTGCTCCAAGGAAGATGGAATATGGCGAGTCATCTCTAAATCCCATCTGATTTTCTGCTGTCTTCCAACACCAAATGAAAACTTTTTTTTTCTTGGTTCAGGCATTTAGACACAAATTTTGAACTTTAAATTAACTAATATTTTTATACAATTCGACTGTATTTTTTTTTATTTTTATGACTTTTCTTTTATGACTTGATTTGTGTAATTTCAGAGGTGCATATTCAGTGATGAAGGAGTTTTAAAATAACTTTCTGAGACTAAATCTAAATTACATCTAAGCTTACACCCATCAGATATAATGAACCACAGCCTATAATTCAGAAACTGTAGCATAAATTGGACTTATATTTACCACTGTTTCTAAATGACTGTCTGCAAGAGATCTGCTCTTGGTTAGTTTCTCTTGCCAATCTAACTGGGGCAGGCAAAATGGCCCTCATGGGTCTTGCAGCAGCCAGCAAGGACGTCTTGGGTTTTGCTTTGCTCTTCTGCTCCAGACCCTTAGGTGCAGCACCAACTGCATCACCGCTGAAAAGGAAAGACATGTAAGTAAGAATCCCACAGGAAACCCCTGCCGTAACAATCACAACTTGCTTAAAGGACAAAGGCAAAGTTGCTCGACTCTTACTCTACTTCGTTAGGGGTCGAAGGGAAACATCAAAAATGTAGCTCGTTTTAACTCCTGGGTATAAATTCAGAACTAAAATTTTCTCTGAAAAGATCTTGGAGCACACCGAATAAAATATCGGTTTATTTTAATCCAAGTTACGAGTTGCACTCTAACGCCAAGTTAACCTGTACCACATTTTTGGTCCACGTGGAGTTGGCTTACCCTGTTGCGTTTTTCACAGCAGAAGTTGGGTGTGAAATAGGACTGGGAGCATTTGCTGTCTCGGATGAATCATTTTCTCTCTCCTTCTGTTCTAAGGGTGGCTCTATCCGTGCAAGGCTCTCTTGAAGCTGAATAATGGTAGTGGCACCTCCTGGCTCTTCTGACTGTACATTGTTTGCAAGAATATGAGCCTCAGAGATGATCACTTCTTCCCACTCAGCCTCCTGCATTTGCCCCTCAACCGGGGATGCATTGAGAAGCTGGGTAACTGCTTCCGAACTTTCTAACACAGATTGAGCAGGATTATCTTGAACCAATGCCTGTCCAAAAGTTAATGGTAGTTGACTCTTTTTCAGGCCCAAAGTTTTTATTGGCAGCCCAGAACCTGGTTCAGATTTGCCTTTTAGAGGTTTCTCCTGCAAAACAAAACAAAACAAAAAACAACCCCACTCTCCAAGTTAGTATTACTTACATTTAAGTATATAAGGATGCTCAGCTGAAGAATTCTGGAGTTGAAATCCACAAAGTTACCAAAAATGAAAAAACAAAACAAAACTGGGCCACATCAACAATAGTGCATTGAAAACATCAAACTCAAACTCTTCAGAACTCTTAATATTACGACAAATTAAAACAATTCACTCTTCACAATTTTTAATCAAGAAGCTAGCAAAATAAAAAACAAGTACCGTAGATATGATAATACTTTCAAAGCTACTCTAACATCTCAATTTAGCATTAAATATGTAATATCTGAATCTCCTACAGATACATGGCACCCTGTTAAAAAAATAACTTTATCTTCTGAGAAAAAGACAGAACTTTAAATTTTAAGAAGCAAACAATGACAAACAGGATTTTATCTATTGCTATGACTTTGATTTTAATTTGTATTAATTGTAATCGTTTTGTAAATTATCAGAGTGAAATACAAAACTTTGAATAAAAAATCAAATCCATGTTCATAACCCATTTAAATACCCAAATAATAAGCTGTATTTTTAAAATAAAGCTAAATTTCAAAATAATAATAGTTCAGTTAAGGTAGAAGACATCCATTTTTCCCTTGGAAATTAGCTATATTAGCAATTAAATTTTCAATGGTACTCGTCACCGTAAGCATCTTAAAAAAAATTACTTGTACAAATAATCATTTTGTAACACAAACATTTTACAGACCCAATCCCAAAACAAACAAAAGTCCCTCAATGCAATGTTATATTTTTAAAATTAATTTCACCATACCTTAGGGATCCATTTCCCTCCCAGAAAGTTTCCACACATGGGGCATTTTGGGGGCTTATGTCTGGTAACGTAAGTAAAGGCACAGCCAGGATTGGTGCAATTTCCATGCCCCCGACGAGTGTAAGTAGTTGTCTGAAGTGAAAGGATATAATTACTTTACAAAATTAAATGGCATAATAAGGCACAAGAAGCTTTGCTCCAATAGGGCAGAATATATGTAACTTTGTTTCTACCTCAAATGTCATTATGGGTTATTGCTCAAGACAAATATTATATGATCTAGATTCTAGGATGATCTCATATTTAAGTATTGTATTGTTCCTTAGATATAGCAGGAATTAGAATCTTATTCAAGATTTGGGAGCAGAATAAACAAATACTTCAGACAGCTGCTTTTATTACCTCATATTAATTATACTTGTATTATGCTGACTGGTTTTCATTATGCATATTGTATTTCCAGTTGTATTATGTTTCTTGTGTTTTCAGATGGTTGCATAATTTTTGGACAGAATCTAAAATCAGATGGATTATTCCACTTTTATTTTTTTATAAATACAAATAAGGAATATTTAACTCGAAATATTAAGTCAGCAACTATAATGTAAGTCGAAATTATTTTATTCATGAGAAAGGGAGACAGTATACTTGCTCTGCATGTAAAGCAGTCAAATGCAATGACGTGATTATTGTTGAGCCCCAAGGGGAAAAACAGGTTACATTGCATCAGCTATAGAAATCACATTTATTATGGAGGGTGACGGGTTTATGTTTAATATCTGAATAGCCAAACTCAATAACAACTTTTTCTTCCTTTTCTAAGGTTTGTACCAGTTTTTAATTAGAACAAATTATGGATCAGAAAGAAACTCTTATTAATTGCCCATTTTGATTTATACTTATCATACAGGGTTCGTTTTTAATTATTGTGACTTTATTTCATTTTTATATTGGTTTAAAGTATCAGAATGATATAAGATCACCTTTGTATGCAATACTACAATAACTGAGTGTTAAGAATCTTACTCAAATTAAGCTAGCTTGTAATTTTTTAATTTCTATTTCCTTTTTCTTATATTTTTAAATATGTTAAAATAAAAAAGTAAGAATTTTAGTTGATTATAAATCACTTTAATTTTTTTCTAGATATGTCTTGATTCAGGTTGATTCAAGTCATTCAACAAAATGTTCTTTTGTTTTTGTAGTGCTTTAATTATTTCTTAAAAAGTAAACTCATGTTATTCTATAATTTACAGTAACTATTAACAAATCTAGATCTTATCTGGTTCCAGGAAATAGCCTTGCTTTAAAGACAAAGTTGCAATGATGAATGATTAGGATAAAAATGATGAACCACTTTTATCCTACCCAGCACTGCCAAAAAAATTAGCCAATACTACTAGATAGCAGGAAGGATCTAGGAACAAACAGCAAAGAAAAGTAAAACATTTCTGAGAAAATTTAACTGTATCCTTTGATTGATATATTGCTTCTTTCTAGTTTGCTTCTCCCTGCCAGATTCTATATTAACCAAAGTGAATTCTTTACAAATAAAGCACTTAAGAAATATAATACTAGGCAAAAATATGGACTTCTTTTATGAGTTCACCACAGTTTTTTACTGCATTATGAGTTGGAAAATAATCCTAAATGTTACTTGGAGTAGGGGAAAAAGCACTCACCATTCTAAAGATTGGATGACAAAACTGACTACAGCTAAGGAAAGAAAGCTACCTTTACCAGGAGCCTGAGATGCTTCATATATAGACTATAACAGTGGTGGCGAACTATGGCACGGGTGCCAGAGGCAGCACTCACAGCCCTCTCTGTGGGCACGTGCGCCATCGCCCCAGTCCTAGGCCTTCAGATGGGTTTTACAAAACCTTTTCGCTTTAGGCCTCCGCCACCGTGTACAAAAAAAAAAAAAAAAGTTCAATGAATCAGTCCATTTCAACTTCTCACAGGAAAAAAAAGATCTTGCACCCGATGATGCATAAGTGGGTTTTGGGTTGCAGTTTGGGCACTCGGTCTCTAAAAGGTTCGCCATCACTGGACTATAAAGTCACCTTGCTTCCAGATGACAAAATATAGCCTGACTCTTTAGTAGCAAAATCAGTAAAAGTCATGGATAATTTTGCAGTCCTTTTGGAGTATAACATTAATTAGTGTAAATCAGAAATTATGTTTTTGGAGGCAATCAAAATATCAGTCATTTTTTTCTTGGCAGTTCTTTCTTGGCAGTCATTTTTCCTGGCAGCAATAACTTACCTGGATTGCAAGTAACTAGACAGATGCCTCAAATGATCAAACTGAATTACAGCATCAGAAATATCAACAACATGGATTGATGAACTATAGTGCCATCAAAATAAACATCTGAAGTAAAATAACTTAAAAATGAACACACACACACACACACACGACCATATATAATCATATGACATTCCTCTCTATAGTCATGTTTTTCCAGGTTCATTTTTAGTTTCAAATCCAATTTGCAATAAAGAGATGTATGATATAATTCTGAACATTTATGTATCAAAGAATAGGACTGTTGTATTTAATAGGGAGAATGGAGTGAAGGTTTGCAAGTTTGCAAGTGGTACAACACTAAAGCTAATAGACGTAAGCTGGCATAGCCAAGACATCCACTCCTCAGTCCCAAACCATTTTCATTTTATCATCCATTCACCATTTCATGTATGTAATTAAATATCATTATTATGTTCAGGACTAAAATTTCCATTCTTTATGTTTAGGACTAAAATTTCCATTCTTTTTTCCTGCAGAAGCTCATGGGAGTTAAAATCCAAAATAACTGGACCAAACTATATTGCCTACCCCTTCATTAACACAGTACAGATTATGCATTTGAAATGCTTTTGCATTTTATTTGTGAATGTTTCTAGTATGAGTGGAAATGGAATTCTTATTTATTGATTGAACCACATCTCTCCTCAGAAACCTTTAAAACATAAAGCAAGCTGTTCATTTAAACTGTTTAAAATATGGCTTTATATAAAATGAGATATAGCACCAAAGGATACAGTCCACTAGGTTTGTCTGGTCTGTCAGCTCCTCGGGTAGAAGGAACAGGAGAAAAACAACGCAGGAGGCAGTCTTGCTTAACCTATATTAAGCATTCAGGGAATACACAGTTCCATATAAATTCAAATGTGCTCCTCTTTGTAAAGTTTGGTTTCAAACTCCAAGTTTTCAGAACGTATACATAGGAAAGTTTGAGACCATAGAAAAAGGCTTCTAGAATAGTGTTCAATTTACCCTAGACATATTCAATGATATATTAAATACATTATGATTCAGTTACTGAATAATATGCATTTCTAAGAGACCTTATTGGAAATATGCATTTCTTTTACTGACCAGTTTGATTGATGCTGGATTTTCCAAAACAGAATGGGCTGTCAGAGGCAGCATAATGAACTGTGCAGTAGGGGTTGCAGAATTACTTTCTTGTCTATCCTAGAAATAGAAGAAAGATAAAAGTAAGGAAACTGCTTGTTTTCTACACTGTAGTCAATTTTAAAATTCTGAGGACACTTTGTAGCAAAACAGCATAGAACAGTGATGGCGAACCTTTTAGAGACTGTGTGCCCAAACTGCAACCCAAAACCCACTTATGCATTGTCGAGTGCTGGGTGGGTGTGGCCCATTCTGTGGGCATGGCCCATTGGGTGGGCATGGCCAATTGAGTGGGCATGGCCCATTGGGTGGGCGTGGCTGCGTTGGTAACGACAGACTGGGTGGAACTAAAAAGTTCAATCAATCAATTCCAACTTTGCAAGATCTTTTTTTTCCCTGTGAGAAGTTGAAATTGACTAATTGAACCTTTTTTTTTTTCCACACGGCGTGGAGGCCTAAAGCAAAAGTTTTATAAAACCCAGCTGAACGCCTAGGACTGGGGCGACGGCATACGTGCCCACAGAGAGGGCTCTGAGTGCCGCCTCTGGCACTGTGCCATAGATTCGCCACCACTGGCATAGAACAAGTGGTTCATTAAGATCTCAAATGCAACCCTTTCGATTTCTGAGCACTAATTAGTCAACAATCCTATGTACTGTATGGCATCATTGAAAATGTACTACTGGCATCATTTAGGCATTTATTTGCCGCTAAATATGACCTGGATTAGATTTAAGAGGAAGCATTTTACTTACTCTTCTAGTCACCACGGTTACCACAGAAAGGCCATGCGAAGACTGTGGCTGTGCCACAGTCATGCTCCCATTTGGTGCTTCTGAGGTGTTAACCAAAGTTTCTTCAATAACCACACTGGTTGCTTGACAGGGATACCCATCACCTGCTTCTAAAGGGGCCTCCTCATCCAGGAAGATATCGCCAGCCACTTTAGGTGCAGTAGGCCTGACATAATGAGACAAGATCTCTGATGCTACAACTTCTTCTATTGTATCTGCTTGAACAAATGAGGTGGGATCTTCCGATACTCCTTCAATGGCAATGCACTGCTCAGAAATGCCAATTTGGCTGGAGTCCACTGAGAGTATGTTCTGCACAGTACTATGGGAAACACTTGTGACATTAGTAGCAGCTGTTTGTCCTTCCAATGCTGTTTGGCCCTCGGTCACGTGAAGTTCAACGTGTGGCTTATTCCTTTCGTCCTGCAGACTTCCTTTAGGAATAATTATGTAATCAGAACGAGGAAGGATTTTACGAAAACCTGGGATATCTGGAACTACAGCAGTCAGGGAAGACAACTTTGAGTTCTATGAAAAAAGACAGAATATGGAGTCATCAGCGTGGCAGTATTTCAGTGGTTTCCTTGCCAGTTTTCTAAGGCAAAAAACTCCCTATTCTAAGCAAATTTTTCATCTCACCCTCTCACCTTCTCTAATTTTAACTACATTTATCTGACCTTCTGTGAGGAAGACCCCTCATTTTATTGTGATTGCCACCTTTTATCGTTTTAAAAAAAATATTGTAATTTCTTTGTTGTGAGCTGCCCAGTGATATCAAGAGTCAGGCGGCATATATATTTCAATAAAAATTACATTTACTGTTATTGACACTTTAAGCTATGAAGCTGATGGAATTCCTGAGATAGATTAGTCATCTCATACATAGTATTCTTCCAGCATTTGTTTTGCTATCTGGTGAAACTTCCTATAGAGAAGTTTTTGCCAAAATCAATTTTCAATAACTATTGAATTCAAAATAAAAAATATTGTTATGAGTTTACTGTTTGCTATTAATAAGCTGTTTGACACTGTAATCAATACTGAGGAATACTAGTGTCCAATATTGCAGGTATTTAGATTTCTATGAACTTGGTATTTTCCATATAGAAATATCTCCTAGGACTACAAATCTATAATAGAAATTCATGGAAATGTAATTATCCTTCTGAGTATGTCTAAGAATAGCATTCTATTTGTTTTTGAACTTTCAATACATGTAGTATATACAATATGCATGTACACAGAGACATGCACACAAAAAACCAGCAGACTTTCAAGTATAATTATAAACAAATTAATTACCGGGTCTAGACCTTCTTTTTCTAACTTAGCCTTCTCCAAATAATAACTTTTCTCAGCTACACTAAGTAGCCTCCAACTCTCACTGATCTTCTTGTTAATTGCAGACTGAGGAAGGTGTGGGAGCTCCTGTTGAACTTTCAGGTATATATCATAATAATACAGAAGATATGCAGATCTGAAAAACAAGCAAAATACTTCTCTAGTTTCCTCTCAAATTATAACGCAAGCAAATTTGTATCCATCTATTCCTGGTCTGCATTTTCACATGAATTTTCAATAAACAATGATAACAACTTTTTAACAGAATTATACAAAGACTAGGACTACAAGCTTTGTTCAATGAACATCCCAAACCTATTTGTGCAAGCAAATTCTAAAGAACCATATTTCCTTGCAAGACCTATTGATCTGAGAAAGTCTTATTTTTAGCTTGTTGGTACATCTTCTTTTCCACTCCAAAGAATCACAATATGGCATGAAATAAATTGAAATTGACACAAGTAAATGGCATGTATCATTGTTGAGTCCATAGTCTGTGGAACAGACATTTTGCTTTTAATATGTTCTTGTAAACAATCAAACAAATGACAATAGCTTTTTTGTTATCTAGAATGAAAAGCATGCAAGGGGAATTCTTTTCAGGATACTATTGAAAGCAATAAGAATGAGAAACTTTTAAGCAGAATTTCTTGAAAAAGAATGGTGACTTTAGAAACACCCACTTCATCCAAATTCTTCTCTCCTAGTTCTTGATGAGTTCTTGAACACAAACACAAATTGTTCCTCCAATTACATGAAAAAAGTTTCTAGAGCATTCTTAGGCATTTCTCATTCTAAAGAAAATGGTCAGCTGGCCTAAATTATTTTATTATGATTCACTATGTGTTTAATCCTCCCTTTGTTAATAAGCAATTACTTTGAAATAGCAATTTTTAGAGCACCTTTAGACAATTGCATGCAAGCCAGGTCCATAGAGACTGTGCTTTTGTAATATAACAGTCCGAAACAAAGCAGTCCATTATTTTGCTATAGAGCCAACCCTGTCATTTGACAAAGTGTAGTGGCTGCTTCAGACAGTTGATCTGGCGAATTATAAAAACAGAAGAGTTTTAGATATTTAATGTACTATTACTGCAGTTTTACTAAAGAGGCAATAGGATTTATTTCTCATAATGTATACCCTGACCTGTTTCTAGTCAAGTAACAAACAGGTGCTATTCAATTAATGTGTCTGTCGTTACTGGATGGTTTCCAGATACTTTGCAGTAGTTTTTCCTACTCTTGAAAATGGCCATGCTTTGTGAACTGGTTTGAATGGAAACTCTGTCAGAACCCCATCTACATCATCCTGAGAACTGTCATCCTGCTGGAAAGCAGGATAGAAAGCTATACAAATTTAGAGTGCAAGATGGAAAAAAAAAACTTTATAAAAATATTAAGCTATATTGTTTACTTCACCCTAGCTCTTTTTAAGATTAGATCAGGCATTTCACAAAAAATACAGAAATATCTACAGCAGCGGTTCTCAACCTTTTTATACGGCGGCCCCCGGTCACACGGATGCGCCGTGCATACGTGGGAGCGCCCATGCGTGCCCCATGCGCGGCAGCGCCCCATGGGCAGTGCGCATGTGCGACGGCGCCCCGTGCACATCGCACATGCGTGGCGCGCCCCCATGCACAGCGTGCATGTGTGGCAGCGCCATGCACAGCGCGCATGTGCGGCAGCGCCCCCATGCACAGCGCGCATGTGCGGCAGCGCCCCCATGCACAGCGCGCATGCGCGGCTGCGCCCCCTGAGGGGGAAAAATGGCGGATCGCATTGTTTGGCGACCCCCGTAAAATGGTCGTTCGACCCCAAATGGGGTCGCGACCCATAGGTTGAGAACCGCTGATCTACAGTATATAAAGTCATAGACAGTCAATTAGGTGTAGTAGTTAAAGGTACTGAGAAACCATGACTTCTAATTCTGTCTTAAGCATGAAGTTAGCTGCGTACATTTAGGCCAGTCACTCACTCTCAGCCATAAGAGAAAGGCAATGACAAAACAATTCCAAAAAATGTTGCCAAGGAATCTGCAAGGATTTGTCCATGTTGTTGGTGGACAAGATAGGCAGTATATAAATCCAATAAATAAATAAAAATAAACAAAGGTTCAAACATATATACATATCTTCATAAGAACAAAGATACATAAATTATACATATATATTTTTATAAGAATTTCTTTCAAAAAGTTACTTAAGCAAAAACTATAATCACAATTTTGAAGTGGAATGCTAAAGCCTCAAGTATTTAAATGCAACACTAAAGCTATTAAGTAATTGAAAGCATGACCAAATTACTAATTTTAAAAAAAATGAAACTCGTCAAAGAAACTCATTATTGCCAAGTAAGAGTATAAGACTACTCACTTCTCAGTTATGGAGCTATACCTCAACATTTTAACATTTTGAACAGAGTATCATTTATGAAATTTATCTGCCGCCCAAATTATTTCCAACAACTCTGGGCGTATCTAACAAATTGATCATAATTTCACAACACTATCTATTAATTCTGTAATGTCATTAGCTACAGAGCAGGTTGATTTTTGCCAAGTACGCATATGTGTGAAAATATCCATTTCTTTATTATCGCAGATTTTAAAATATTTAAGACAAAATAAGAAATGGCAATTCCTAAAAACTGATTCAACTGATTACTCAGAAAAATCACTCACCTGGGCTTTTTAGTTTTTTCCCCTTGATCTCCAGGACTTCTATATTTCTTCTTCTTTTTAGATGGCACTGGGGATGAATAAGTGTATGTGCTTTCTATCTCTTCCATGACTACAGTTACTTCACCGCCATCATATGGAGCATCCATTGCTAGACAGAAACTCTAGGATATTATATTCTCCAAATCATTATATGTCATAAATCCCAAACAATGAATCTTTTACCTTTGGCAGAAAGATCCAGTACATTTTAATACTGCTAGAATTTGAAGCACTGATTTCAAAAGCAGTACAGAACTATAATATGTAATTATGTATAAAATATAGTATTTTTCTGCAATTTTCTAGCTTAGAAGTCACTAAATGTATGAAATATGTTTCTTGCAGCTGAATTTCAAAACAAACTTTAAAATCATAGTATGATTTTTAGCATACATACTTCTAAAGACTTTTCATTAATATTCCTCTATTCTAGTTTCTTTTTATTCTATTCCTTTAGGATCACAATGGCTGCTTTGTCCCAAAGGTGTGTTTTTTTTTTCCTCAAAAGGCAACTGGACTTTGTTTTTCCAGTTGCTTTTTGAAAAAAAAGCATCTTTGGGACAACCTGGGTGAGTGAGAATCTCCATATAGGCAGTGGCTGTTTTGAAAAAAATAAGTGAAGGACAACGAAAAAGAAAACAGTAAACGCCCTGAAACACAAATTATGGAGATGGTTCAAAGATAAAAGGATACTCAAGCTGTCATAAGAAGCAAGTCTAGAATTTAGGCATCATGGAATAAAGGGATTGCGTTGCTATTTGGATCGATAACTTGGGACAGGAGAATTTACGTCCTGGAAACACATTAGCTTTTAAACGTGCCTGAAGCCTTTTGTGCTGCGTTTTTTCCGCCGCAATATACCTCTCTCCGTGACATCTTCGCCTTCTCCCCACAGCAGAATTTCGGAAGTGCTACCAACCTACTTGCTCTCCCTTTTCTATAAGCGCAACTAAGAAACCAGAGGAAAAGGACTTTTATGGATGACACGTCCCGGGACTTACTTGAAAGCGCGGCAAGAGCAGGTCATACTCTGGAAGAAAAGGCCGCCTCTGCCCGAGCATGCCGAGGAACCAGGCCAGGCGACTCCACGCCTCGCAAAGAAGCTGTAACAGCCGGCGAGGAGAAACAGCTGAAGACTTACACCTTGCCGGGAATGGTCAGAATGATTGTTAAACAAGGCACTGTACCGGAAGCTTTACCTCGACAACTCCTTCCTGTGCTATAGGTCATCCGGTCTATAAACGTTCGATGGATGGAATCTCTAGTCTAGACTGAGAGAGAGGGATCGCGTAGCAAGGCATAGAGTTTCGATGGTCGATGGAGAGGCAATAAAAGCTTATCTAGGAAGAAAATATGATAGAGTTCTATTGCATCTTCAGGGAGGAGGTGTGTTATTCCGCTGCCGAAAGAATTTTGTGGCATCCTTTTAAAAAAAAAAATCGAATAAGTGTATTTTGGCATATGGTCATGCTAATATCATTTGGGGGAGGAGGGGCAGAAAAAAGACGTCATAGGGAAATAGTAGGAAATGCAGACGGTGGCATTGAAGCCATTTACGGAGCTATTGTTTGGAGACCCAGATGTTTCTGCATAATGGAGCTGATAAGCTTCCTTTTGGGGTGAGGAGGGCGTTGGAGTGTTATGCAGCCCTACGTAGGAGAAAGATAAATGCTTTTAGATTGCAATAAGATCCTGGTTTTGAATACCTGCTTTTACGTGGACGATTGTTGTATTTTTACAGAAGCAAGAGAAATAATTACTCCAAGATTAGTTACACAACAGATTAAACTACAAACTAACCAATTACCTTTGAGTTTAGGTGTGAACCAAGCCACTGTGGTTAGTTTATTATTACTATTACATTTCCTTATTCATTCATTTAGTGACTGTTCAAAGTTACAACTGCACTTTAAAAAATGATTTATGACAGGTCTTTGCACGACTGTTGCAACATCCCCAGGTTCATGTGATCATAATTCAGATGCTTGACAACCATCGTGTATTTATAACATTTGCTGTATCCTTTGGTCACATGACTGCCATTTGCAACCTTCCCAGCCAGCTTCTGACAAACAAGCTCAATGGGGGAGCTGGCAAGAGATTGCAAATCATATTCATGTGATGTCTTGCTTAACAACCACAACCCGTTGTAAGTTGAACTGATCATGCAATATTGTGCTTAGTGACAGAGTTGCTGGTCCCAATTAAAGTCATTAAGCAAGGACAACCTTTATATTTTTATACTATTTTTAATATTTAATCAACTCAAGATGGCAAACATACTTAATATGCGCATCTTCTATTTTCCCCACAACAGTCCTGTGAAATGACTTGAGCTGAGAAATAAAAACTGGCTGAAGGACACCAACCAGCTTTCATGCCTAAGGGAGGCCCAGAACTCTTGGTGATTACCTTCCAGTAATATTTATTCATTTATTTATCTATTTATTTATGAGACTTATATACTGCTTTAAGTGCAAGCACTCTCTAAGCGGTGTACACCAGTAAGCAATGTATATATATATTTACATTGCCCCCAACAATCTGGGTCCTCATTTTACCTACCCCGGAAGGATGGAAGGCTGAGTCAACCTTGAGCTGGTGAGATTTGAACCGCTGACCTGCTGAACACAGTCAGCTAAAGTGGCCTGCAGTACTGCACTCTAACAGTACTGACATTATTGGACGAAAAGGGACTGAATATTATTTTTCTTTGCTGGAATCTTAATGGCAAAGGTTAGGATCAAGAACTCTGTAGGAAACAAGTTTGTATCTTCCCTCCCCCTGCCAAAGACCATTTTTTTAAGGTTTTTAGAAAATTTTATGTTACAGATAGGAGTGATTTTCCTTTCCATGCATTTCCAAATTCTCTCTCTAAAAAAAAAAGACTTAAGTCTTTAATTCTCAAAACCCAGCAAAATCTCCCAAAAATAGGTTGAGATCTAGCCAAGACATTTCAGGTGTTGTGTGTCTGCAAAAGTTTTTTTTTTTTTTTAGTTTTTTACGTTGCTGAATGTAATTGACAGCCTTTAATTGACCCATTTTCTAATTTTCTACATCTTATGAACCAGATAATATTAAAGCTAAGTTTGCATCACATACTTTGCTAAAATGTGGCTGTATCATTTATGGTTTTACATATCATGCTGATCTAGCCAAGAAGACAATAAGTCTCTACCTTGTCATTTATTTTACCTCTTTTATACTGGAGGTATCACAGCATAGGATGCTGATGACTGAAAATATAGTTTTTCCTCTACTCACCTGCTCATTTCCTAAGAGTCGTGCAGGTGAGAATTAGTGTTAATTGGCTGAATTAGTCCTCCAAGCAAAAGTACAGTATGAAGGAATCTCTTCAAGAAATAACTAATCCTTTATATCTTCTAGATGAGGTCTATTCTTCCTGCTGCATTGCTCAAGAGGAAGGGTCACGTATGTAGAAGGGTAAGCAATGTTTTGCATTGATGAAACCCATTCACTTCCACTCATGCTGTATTTTGTTCTTTTTCAATGCAAATCACCACAATGAAAAAAAAATCAGGTGGTGGTTAGAAGAAGCAATGATTACTTATCTGCTCCTTCCTTGGTCAGGAAAAAGACAAATGTCTATCTGGAAAAAGCAGGAGTTTCTGTAATAATCAACCATTAGAACTTTTTTCCATTCAGCTACCTTCTGTCCCTCAAAACACTTGCACATCACTCTGCAAGTATCCTTACTGCTGTTGTCATAATGCCTACTCTTCTACAATATCAAAGGGTTACAGCCTTTATTTTCCTAATGAGTAAAAAGCCGGTCACAAGGAGAGAGAGCTGCAGACCTTTTCCCATCTCCAGTTTACAAAGGAAATTATGGTATTCTGGTGACCTACCAACTTACAAATCAGGAGACTCCACCAGTGTGAAGCCATTCAATCTGTTCCAAAGGATATCATCTATGTTACAAACTGCATTCACAGCATTTCTTTTTATGCCACTGTTGACCTGATACACAACTGGCTGCACAAGGACAATTATGGGTAGTATCAGATCAGCACAAAGTTCACATTCACCCTTGATAGAATGCTTTTCAGTTTTTAATACTAAACCAACAGCATTTCAACTTTAGTACCTGGAATCTTTAAATTTGTGCTCTTAGGATTGTTATGTCTCCTAACTGAGATGGTATCATATCTAAGAAGAAGGAGGACAATATCTATTTTTTTTTATTTTGTAAAGTTTAATTTCTAGCATGAATCCATTAATTTATGGAATTGTCCAAAAAAAAGAAGAAAAAGAAGAAGCCAGAGCATCAGTATGTGTTACCATGTATCTGCTGGCTTCATTATATGGCAGTGAAAGTTGTGTAGGCAGTGGAATCTGTAAAGGAATATGTGTACAATAGTAGAACAAGAAGAGATAGGATCAAAAATGAATGGGGAATGAAAGGATGTGTATTTAGTAGATGAATATCAAAGTACCAAATAAATAGATTAAGTAGATTAAGTAAGGTGGTTTAGTCATATGCATCACATTCAGATAAAATGTCATTTATAAATATGCTTTAAAATAGTTATTTGGAAAGCATGTTAATTTAAATCACTTTCTTTGTGCTTCCCCACTCAAAAAAGCTTACTTGTTAGTTTTAAATAGGTAACTAAATTATATTTTATTTTGCATTCTAAATCAGAAAAAAATTAAGAATATCTATTTAGACTGAACAGAATAATCTGTATGTATTTTCCAGGGTAGGACCTTTCTCTAGGTACCAGCTTATTCTTTCTTTTCTTTTTTCCCACCCTTGCCTTTTCCTTCCAGGCAGTGCCAGGCTGCAGAATAAAAAAAAAGGTAATTCTGTAGCTGAAACTTCAAGGATTCTATGATTCTGATGTCTGCATGGTTTAGGATCATACAATTTAAGATAATTTAGTTGCCTATTTAAAACATTTTTTGAAAGAAACTCTATTTGTATTAATCGACTCTCTGAAATTAGTTTTCTGCCAGAATTCTGCCCTAGATGAGGCAATTGTTGGATTTGTTGTCTAGTTGAAATAAACAATCACAAGCCAAAACTTCGAAGAGAAAATAATGGTAATTTATTTGTACTCGTTTGCAAAGGGGGTGCTCCTTGTGCATGCAAGCACACAGTGGACACGCCTTAAATCTTCAATATTCATTCTTTATATTCTCCATTGCTGTTACAAATTTACCTCCCACCTCTTTTTCATTGGCTTAGTAATCATACTGTAATCATGTTGTCACAATCTATCCAAAGCTTCTGAAGTGAATACATTATCTCTGCCCCTGTTATATCCCCCACTTCCCTAATTCTATCGCCCCCAGCCCTTATTTACGAATTACCTTTTATGGTTAGTTCCTAGGGGTTGTCTCTAAAGTTGCTATCATATCAGTTAAGTTCTGCTTAGGACTTTTTTTCAGGTTTTCAGCATAGCAGAGAGCTTCCTAGATAAAATTCTCAAGCTTCAAGCTAGACTCATGAGATTAAAATATATACAATGTATTTGCTTCACGGGCTAGCTAGCATGTCTTTTCACAGTTCTGTAAAAACAAGCTCTTTTTCTCACAAATCCGTCTTTTTTCTTTTCACAATCAATATTGATTTTTACACTCATATTTCTCAAATTGTCTCAACATTCTTCCAACCTCTTCACTCTCATCTTTCATTTTCCATCCAACCAAGCAATCTTTACATCACATCATCATCATTGGTCCAAGTTGCATGCAACAACAAACCATCATTCCAATTATCAATATTAAAATTCCCAACATTATTGTTTTACCCATCCGGCCAAAGTAGGGATACAGTCACTGAGTCCTTTCAAGGGATTCCATCCCTCCCTCCCTATAGCCCTAGTCATTTCTTATAATTTATTTACTTGTTTATGATGTTTTTTCGATTAGTTCAGAATAATCAGGTACTTCTTCACTAGCATTATGTATCCAAGTGCAACAACTATAACCAATTCGCTCTGCACCCAGCCCACTCACAGCAGCTGCTAAACTCTTGTTGCGTTAACAGTGTAGTTCTCACTATTTTTAATTCTTCACTTAATAATATTATATCACTTTGAGTTATGTTTATTATTTCATCCATAATATTGGTAATTATTTATTCTTTTCATCATTTCCCATCCCCATCCTGTAGGGG